GAGGTAGACCGCTAGCTCTTTTGCCTAGATCAAGTCAAAAAAAGTTGATTTGTGACTTTTTTATAACTGTTTTTTTATTGGTCTGTCCGGGTTCTGGGCTACAAAATCCGGGGTTATCACGCGTCTTATCCTGGTTGCCACATTTTAGAGATGGCAGAACTATACATACAGATGGAGCTAAAGAAGTTTCACTTAAGTCGTGTCGCCATAAAAGCACACTCGTTTTTTCTATCGCGTCTAACTGTCAAAATCTATAGTAATTTGACAATTGTCTAACTGTCAAACTCCATAGTAATTTGACAATTGAGCGTGATAAAAACGAGCTATATAGGTATGTATGATATCGCAGTGCTCGTGCTAGGGAGGCAGGTAGGTATGTAACATAATATATTATCTCGGTACTCATGCTAAGGCGGCAGGCTAGTGTCATGGAAAGAACCCAGACATAAAGTATTTTAGGACTCTGTAGACATTTTAACGATATAAGTGACCTCAACGATTTAGTTACCAACCTATTCCACCCCTTTAACCTACCTACACCATGTCGATGTTAACTCACTCAATTGAGTCAAATCAATAACTTCAGAAAGTATATCAATGTATTGTGATAACTTCCGCTTCCGCCTTTGTACGAATGCATCAAAATGGAATGTAGGTACCTATTGATTTCTTTTTGTGTAAAGGATTGATTAGTATTATTAATTTATTTTAACATTTAAACCAACTTCAATAAGTTAAAGAGATATCAATTATTCAGTAATGCTATGCATGCCGCATGATTTGATTGTCTTGGGGAAAGCGGATAATTAAATAAAATCTACCAATCCCGCAAAGGAAATTATTATAAGGCATAATGAATGTAAATTATATTAAATACAGCTACACAGTTGTCTTGAACGTAAGTAAACACTTCAGTTCTTTTTAATTGATAAAAGTATGTACTATCAAGTGTACAATCACAAACAAGGAAATAATGAACCTTTGCACAGTATGAATAATATCACCATTATTACTACGTAATAAAAACGATATCGATCGAAGTTTGTATCCCTAACTAATTAACATATCATACAGGTAAGACTCGTTTACTTTAAAGAATGTACTTACCTCATTATAAATAAATTAATAACATAAATATTTCCAACACTCACACCAATTAGCCTAACCAAAGTAAGCACTAAGGCTTGTGTTATGGGATACTAGGGTAACGGATAGAATACATATACACTACATATATAAGTATATTTATATAGAAATACATATTAAACATCCTTTCGGCGAGTCAACAACCGGTGGGGGTTCATAATGTAAGTGGCCCCGAGTGCTAGGAGGCTAGCACTCGGGGCCACTTACATTATGAACCCCCTAATTCAATGAAATTTCGATCGAAACCTTGCACTGTTCTTACTATGTTTCTGTTTCGTTTTTAATTATAATAATATTCGTCGTCGGAATATAGATTCAGGTGTAGATTTTCTAAGCCTACTCAAAGAAAGCTTCAATTTGATATTTTATCGTTCAAATTAAATATAACCTTAAATTGACAAAATTAAATTTCGTTTCAACTTCGTTATCGAAGTTCGTTTCTGCGAAAGAGAGTAGACCCCCAAATTTTAAAAAGCGCCCTCGTTAACTGGGCCCCCACTCTACTCCTTCGTTGCGTCGGGGCTTCGACACCACTAAACCCGACCCTACTTGCAAACATCATTTGCGCCGTTGGCTACCCTGACCCCTACCCCGTGGAGCCCTGGAACCTAGTAAGGTTCCTATTCCTATGTATCTTGTCGGGGAGTACACCGACAAGATACATAGCATCGCCAAAAGTTTGCATTGCAGTATTATTTTCCGAGACGACGGTACCTCTGCCGTCCTCAAACTTAAACGCGGCTAAATGAAAAAAACAACTTGTGAGATATGGCCAAAAAAACTGCACGTAAACTTTAAATTATTGCTATTTTGTAACCATTCATCACATGACGGATTTTTAAGATTTAAACTATAAAAGATACGAATACTTGTTGTAGACAGATCGATAGAGAATTAAAAACTGTATACGATGCAATTTAAGACTGAAAATCGACCACATGTCACTTAGCCGCATTTTAGTTTGAGGACTGCAGACCTGCAATTCGAGCAGGAAATCCACCTTGCCATTAAGGCTCTTCGAAAAAGAAATCTGTACATTCAGCTATTTCTTTTTATGATTCGTTCTGTTAGTGACTAGGAAGACGCATTCTGTGTAGTGTCGCCACACACGGGCTCACGCAACAGCCACAAACGCCGCCACGAGAAGCTAGAAGTGGCTACAAAGGTAGCTGAAGCACGCGACAGCCACTTGTGGCCGGTGGTCGACACTTGCCGTCGGTGGCTGCTACTTTTTTTAACACATGCGTCATCATAATGGACTCTTGACGAAGGTTTGAAGGTGGGGAAACGCGCGAGTGGCGTGCGGCGGCGCGGCGCGGCGTTTTGTATCGGTGCATTAGTGGCCGGTGCGAACCACAAGAAGCGAGCGATTTGTAGCGTGTGACGGCCACCTGCGTTAACCGTGTGCAGCGAGTCCATATAAAATGTATGAAAACTACAGGAAATATGCCGGTGGCGGCGTTTTGTGGTTGTCTGTCTACCTTTTTCCGTTCAAAAGATTTAACCAGACTATTGGGTTTTCTTTATTTTTCCAAGATAAAAAGTGTCATATGTCGCAATCCAGGTCATAAACTATATGCATATAAACTATTTATATGTAAGTATATATACATAAACTATATGGGTACCAAATTTTTCATCCAAATCCGTTTTTAGCGTAAAGCGTAACAAACAAACTCACTTTCGCATTTAATTAATTAGGATTATGATTAGGATGGAGAAATTATTCATTAAATATGACAGGAACCTAGTAAATCCTTTACTATTAGTTTTTCCAAATCATCCAGTTATTGCGAGTGCCCTAAGTGGCACATAAGTGTTAATAATCTTGCAATGAAGACTAAGAAGCTCGGGTGTTATTACCGAGCGGTTATGGTTTGTGGTTTCAACACATCGAAGATCGTATTCCGGTAGTGTAATAGATAAATACGTATTCAATCCAACTGGCTCAGATGAATTAATTACACCTACTTCACTAATCACTATACACCACAATATATAGCGTACCTATCGATTTAGTAGTGTCCTGCAACTTCATTTGCTTCATTGGATGTTTGAATTATTTTATCGCTTACTTAGGCAATGGAGTGACTAAAATGTTTCAAATATATAGCAGAAAGAATATAACAAAGAAGACGTCCAAAGTAATCCTATTAGTTAAAAATGGCTCAACGGATTTGGATGAAATTTGGCACACATTTAGTTAATTAGATAGAGGAGCTCGATGGCGCAGGTGGTTAGCGCATTTGAATGACCTGCAATTTGCATGGTAAACAACTTTCACAATGGTCGGTCAATGAATGGATGACCAAAAACTTATCACCTCGAGCTCTTCAGTGCTTCGGAATCCGTGTTAGACGTTGATACCGGCTATATATGCTGTCTTTATAACCAACCAATCCCTATAGTCGGTCAGTGGTGGTCCATGCATGGCCAATTATCCTATTCAGTCCTTGGGAAAAATCCCAGCAGAGGAGATTAATAGAGGGTCGTTGGTGCAGGTTGATTTTAACTGCGTACGCTATGATGTTTTTTAGTTATATAAGTAAATAACAATCGTTTTTCAAACTTAAAAATTAGTTGTTTAGCGGCTTTGGTGGAAAAAGGTAATGTCAGACAGCTTGTCCCGAGGCGAGGCGATTACCTTACGATTCCGATTAGTGTGCCTGTGCGTTGCAGTACGGAATTTCCTACAAAAAATATTGAATGGCTCGAGTTGATCCGGTGCGGTGACGAACCCTTCCCGAGTTGATATGTCTGCCACGAGCTTAAGATTAAAATAAATAAAAAGTGAAAGGCGAAAGGGCGTTTATTAACGAGAGGAATTCTACCCGGGTTTAGGCACGGTTTTAAACCGTGCTGTCCGGTCGTTAGTTGGGTATGGGATAATATATTATGGAGGTTTGTTATCGACACCGGCGCTAGCGATGTTTGAGGTCAATACAAACGTACAGTGCTCGTTTTTTTTTTTGAGTGTGTATGCTGTTGGTCACAGATGACCTTTACAGCGTCACCGGGTTTGGGGACGGCGAGATCCATAGGGGACCTTAAGCCGAGATTTGGCGAGTGCCTCTAGAGGTATTCCAGGCGGATGGCCTTTCCCCACGGGGGGAGTTTCCTCTCTAGAGCACTCGAACCTGAGAGGGGCCGTGCTCGTGAACAAGCATAGCCGGCATCGGCCCAGGTACAAATCGTCTCGTGAACGCCCATAAGCTTCATAACAAACCTATAACATTTCTATAATGATCGCAGACTTCGATGAACAGGGTCAAAAATACCCAATGACCCCATCACGCACGCTCACGACAGTTCTCGCCGCATCAAGTAGGTGGGTAACGTCCTATCTCTCAGTTTTTTATACAACTAACGAAAAATAAATGTGTTAATACACAAAGTCACAGATAGTGTATTCATTGTATCCAATCGTTTGACTAATACGGTTATCTATGACTCAGGGTCGAATTCGGTTACTTGATAACAACCCAATCACAGTTTTTTAATTAAAAACTTTAAAAAAAATTTAATCAGTTTCTTAATCTTGTTACTAGAATAGATAATTTTGTAGAGCCGAGGCCAAATGCCCATGGCTGGCCTATTTAATGCGATCTTAAATTTTCAGCTTTAAATTATCCTGTCAATTTGTCACCCCATCCTGCCCATAGGATCTTTCTGGGGTGATCACTTTTCTACTATATTTATGCACCAATTTCGACGTCGTCACATCTAAATTCTGAGAATAAATGATATCATTTTGTCGCAATCTGTAGCTTTAGTTAGGTAGATAAGCGCAGCTCTACGAATATGGTGTGTGTGCAGGGCAATAGACTGGGATAAACTCTGATAAAAACATGTGATGAATTAATTATTCTTTTATTTATGACTTGTGTTTATTATGGATCAAATAAAAACATAACAATTGTTGCTTGTACTAACATTAGGAGGACATTGTTCTTTTATGCACATGCATCTTTTAATCACTTTAATTAAGTATATATTTATATTCAAATTATTCTATATGACATGTTTAGGCAAATTGTAGCATACATAGCTGAAATTGAAATATGTCTCGAATCCCCTACCAAGTAACAAAATGTAACCAGCCCCATATTTTTGTAACTTCAACTCCTATTGAGTGTGATATATGTCCAATTGATATTTGAAAAATATAGAACTGCACTTAAATAAATCCCAAAATAGGTTTAAATAAATAATGCTTAGTTGTAAATTATTTTTAAATATCAAATTGAAAGCTATCATAATAGGAAGTTGGTTTTAGGTAATTATTTTATGATAATGGCTGTTCTTAATGTTTATTAGCTCCATATAAATTATGATTATCCTTCCTTTATGGATTAACATGTAACCTACTGCATTGGTTATAAATAAAATGTTTTGTTCAAAAATATAAACTCACAACTTTGAGTATTAGCTGTAAAATAATTGTAAAATAATCTCTCACTCACTGGTATTATTACTGTTAGATAGACAAAATGCGAAGTGTAGTTTCAATAGCATATTAAGGCTACCTAACTCTCACAATCTTCAACCAACAACAGATAGCATGCAGAAAGAGTAAGCAAAGAATGTTATCATCATCCAATTTATTTCATACATTATGTAAGTTGGATGATATAACCCTCTTCCAATTGTAATGGATAAGTTTGGACTTACATTACACGTAAACCAGTCTTAGTCTCATTATTAAACTTTAGTATCAAAAGCAAAGTGTAATCCAAATTTGGTCTGCAAATAATTCTTATCACAAAGCAAATTGTCACACCATTTGGCCCCATATCAGACCCGTTTAATATTACTACATTCTTATCGCTACAACTGTACCTGTCCAAACTCACCCATTAGATGAAATATTTTATTACAATATTTTCAAGAAATATTCACCCTGTGTATTATTTATATTTATAGAGTTATCAGTGTATAAAACCAATTTTGAAACGTTCAAAGTGGAATAACATTAGAAATTATCTTTTCCGGATATGGATATAAATAAGTATGAATTTGTTTTCTAGAAACTTACGTATACTCCAATTATATTGCTTACCATCTAAATTAATTTTTAAGTGCTAATTTATCATTTTCCTTATCCAAAATGGAAAATGATAAAGTATTGAATGCTCAAGAGGCTAAATTAGGTATCACAGAGAAATGTAAATTAATAGATAAGAAGAAGCCTAGACTCCATACCATACATGTTGTAAAAGTTTATAAGTATTTACGGTACCAAGAAACCATTTTGCAGAATGTGCTTCACCAGCCTTGATCTCCATTCCAATGAAATTTTGTACATAATTATAAACATGTTTTATGGGAGCATCTTTCTAACTGTCGATTTTGAGGGAAATTTAAATTTTATTTTGTTTATAACTTAAGCAGAATACAAATGTAAAAGAATTTATCATATATGTTTTGCTCATATGGTGTAAAGAAGTAGGTACTATATTCAAAAGTGATTTAGACAGCAAGAGTTGCTTAGCAAAAGTAAATTTACACTTCAAAATGTCTTTTAGAAGTATTAATACAGTCACTTCACTTTAAATAACATGGAATTCAAAAATCTCTTTATGCCTGTTCACTTTGCCTAATTAAAATTAAAATTCAACTTTTTTTTAAAGTACCCTGGTACTATCGTCCAGAATTAGAATAAACAATCAGGAAAATACTATACACAACCATATTAATAACAAACTTAGTTTGATCCAATCAGTAATTTTGATAAATAATGATGTCAACTCACTGACCAATCTATCATCTATACATTGGTTTCAATTTGTTTCTTATTTTTCTTATGTTCTCAGCTGTACATATAGCTTAAGTTTACACATTCATTCATTAATATAATAATTTATTCAACTGTTTCCCCCCATTTCAATGTTGAAATTATTCATTGAAAGAAACAAATAAAATATGATTCAATGAACAACCTTTAGTACTTTCTCTAGAGTTATCAGTATCTAGGGAAAGATTATTGTACTTCTTTTATATGGCAAACAACCAATGGTAATGAACATTACCACAAAATGAAATACAAAAGTATAATTAACAATCAATGTACATCTTTCTAAAACAAAAGTGTCAAGTTTTCTTCATTGCAAAATTATAAATAGGCATTAAAATAAAATACTTACAATAAAACACACCATTCGGCAGCATCACACAAGCATAATATGCATATACATACAAACAACTCACAAATTAAAGCTTTTGAGTATTGAGTATTGGAGGCTTAAGTTCGTGAGCACGGCCACCCCAGTCGAGTCTGTAGCAACGAGTCCGCCAAGATATCTCCGGGTTGAGGAGGGCAGTAGCTAGAACGAACGGAGCACAGCATTCACTCCATGCCCAGCCAACAAGGAATTGCACTTTTGTGAATGGGGGTGACCCGTTTTGCACAGACCGCAGCATTAACCAGTCAGACAGAAACCACACTAACACATGCACCAAGAAGAAGGGCAGGGGTTCAGCACCAAACAATTGTCCTGCAGCCCAGGCGGCGCCTGCTCCGAGAGGGAGGCACTCGCTCAGTGGCTCTAAGAGAGCCGTCGTCGGCACCATAGCGATTCGAAGTCGCGCCCAGCGTTTTAACCGAGCTTGGAGAGCTCCAACTGACCGTGAACCGCAGTTTTGCAGCGCGGGAAGCGACGCTACGCGCATTTTCCAACCACGCGCTAACACTTCCTTAGCCATAAAGAAGTCCTCAGCTAGGTAATCTGCGAATGCCGCCAAGCCACCTGCTTCCTCCAATGCACAGCGGCGCACCAGTGACGACATCCCGACGTGACAGTTTATGCCTAGGAAGTCTGCACCCATGTACATTCGCGCTTGTGCCGTTCCGAAGTACACCTTCTCGTAGACAGCTGCAAAACCTTCAGCGTCACTCACGAACGGCATCTGATGCACTATCGCGACGTCCTCACGCATATGTTGCACCATGTCGAGTAGAGAGTCTTCCCTCATTCGAATGCCGGCATCACTCACTAGGATCAGCGGGTATTTTGCCGCTAAATACGCTGGATGCATGTTATTTATCTTCGGATTTACTCCGACCCGCATTCCACCGACGAAAAGCCGCGCGTCTACGTTTGGATATTTTGGTAGTAGACTGTACTTCACCAACATTACGGCAGGGTCCTTTTCACTCTCCACGCAAAACAGTATCTCGTACGTTGGATAATCGAGGGTGAAGAACGTCTCCAAGTTTGACAGTAAGTTTGGGTCGACGCCGGTTAGCGGCTTTAAAATCGAAACACCTGGATACGGCTGCTCTGGTGGTGACCGGTCCACTGTTCTGTGCAGTTTCCATTTCGAATACGAAAGTGCCATTATATGAATTACCCACAAGACGATCCATGCAATCATAAAAAATATGGCAAAACCATACACTGTATACACCATGGGCATCATAATGGCAAAATCCTTAATTCGTTCTCTTGTTCGGACCTCATAATATCGACTGATCGCGAAGGTAAAAGGCGTCTGCTACACTCCGCTACGACGCGAGATAACACTGCATATACCAAGTGGACATGCACGCACGACTAAGCTGAGGACGAATTGACATGGTGCTACGATATCGCTAGAGTCATTACGAAATTAATCGAAAGTGTAAAACCCGAAAAAAAATATCTAATCAAATAACTTGGCGTAGCAGTCAGCCAGTCAATCAGCCATCTGTCCATAGATTCAATCCATCCACAACAGCACAGACTATAGTTTTTTTTAAATTTTCGCTTTTTAGGGAAGGCATAGGGAACAATGCCCATATAGCCTAGGATTTAAGTTACTTTTTTTAAATTAGAATGCCGGTGTCAGTGTGACGCATTCTAATATTTCCTGGAGTGTTTGGCACGAAATGTATTGGCATGTAATCCGGACTAATATTATAAATACGAAAGTAACTCTGTATGTCTGTCTGTCTGTTACTCTTTCACGCCAAAACTACTGAACGGATTTGAATGAAATTTGGTATACAGATGGTCTAGACCCTGAGAAAGGACATAGGCTACTTTTTATTGCGAAAAGGGGGTTGTAAGGGGTTAAGAGGGGGGGTGAAAAGTTGTATGGGATTGGGAACTATGAAGCCAAACTTTTTGTATACAAAATCTTAACCATTGAACCTAGGAACATAATATTTAGAAGTTTTGGGTGTATCAAATTGAAAAAAAAATTTGGCTTTTGAAGTTAAAGTTCCTTTTAACGAATACTCTGCATCGCCGGTATTACACGTGGGATGCCAGTAGAAAATATTGGAATATTCAAGGAACTGTTGTTCTGGATTGGCCTGGCGTTAAATCTGGAGATGCATTAGGACGGGTCTATACTGTCCACGTTAGTAACATTGAATGCTTTTGTTTGAGACTACTGCTACACCACGTACGTGGGCCAACTTTGTTCAATGATCTCAAGAACTATTCCACGCGGACGAAGTCGCGGGTAACAGCTAGTTTTATATATATTATTGGTAGAAAGGTTTTGGTATCAATTATGGCAGTGTTCTTTATGACAACAGTGTATCCATGCTACCAGATTTTTAGATCATCCGCGGCTGTTTTGTCACACTATGCAATCTACTATATAATATACGCAGTATAGTCTGTACTACAGACTCTGTAGGCTTAGACCATTAAACCACAGGACTAGCCTCGCAAGATCTTTCCCCTCTGTCAAGGTATAAGATCAAATGATCCTGTGCGTTCATAAAAACTACTTACAATCGATAGATTTCCACAGTGTGAGAATCGTTTTCGTTGTGACAACAGCCCGTGTCTCCTCGCAAAAAAATGCTAACCTGTGCCGTTTTAACGTGTAAAAAAAGATTAAACACCTCTAATTTACAAAAAGACGGGATATCATTTGACATGTAAATGTTTTTTCTATATTTTAGTGCTTTTTTTCAATTAAAAATGAATTTTACAATAATCGAGAATAGAAACTTGCAAGTAATCGAGTGAGATCCAATTCGAATGTGTGCCGAAACATATTCATATGATTTTATACCTTATAATTAAAGAATAGAGTCCATTTTAGTGACCTTAACTATATATTGGCGAATATAGTCTCTATTGCATGCTCCCCACGAGACTTACAAACGCACTCCCCACGAGACTACATTTTTTAATTATCAAGTTTCGACCTTAGACCCCGCATTTAAGATTCGAAATAAAAATTATATAACTTGAATTGAGTGTAGCGAGACTATTTATTTACGACTTTTAAGTGATGAGAAATAAAATTGAAAAAATAATATAGATATAATGGTTTTTTGTTTTTTTGAATGCATAAGACACATTTACTCAAAATTAATACATTTTGAAAATCAATAAATTTGATATTAATAATACACATTTTTTTTGTTTTTTTTTTGTTTTAAGCATGTAATGGCCGCGTCAAAATTCTTCTAGCCATTCTTAAGCTGCAAGGCAGCGTCATCTCTTCGCATTGAAGTTAACCCACAATGTCAAATGAATACTTTTACAACTATTAAACATTTGAAAGAAGAAATTGCAATTATAGTTATAGTCAACAACTAGCCTATTGTGCTGATGCTTAATTGGAACGTGAATTAGTTTTCAAATGCACCAGCAGAGTGCGCTAAGTTCAGCGTTGAAAAAAAAGTCAATGTTTGTACCTTCATCCATATTTATATTTAATTTTTTAACACAGTTTGAATTAACTTTGATTATTTAAAAAAAACTTGTAGTTTTAATAATTTTTCAACAATAAATAATATCAGTAACGATAACATCTAAATAAAACATTTCGGTCAATGCCAACTTAAAGAAAAAACACTTGTTAATTTTTGACGTGACAACGTCTTAAATTAGGTTGCGGCTGGGAGTCACTTATGAAAAAGTGTAACGCTCGGTAACGTTACGATGAGTCTCTCGTGTTAAGTTTAAGTTTACATGTACAATGTTTTAGTAAACAAAATATATTTCTATAGTTAAAATTTGTGCAATTCTTATTTTCATTCAATTCCTTGTTCCTATTGTGCAATTTAATTATATTCATATCAATAAATATTCTACCGAGAAAAAGACGTTGTCACGTAAAATCTTCGCCCGTAAAACCGACTTTACAGGCAACCATTTTTTTTTATCTCTGAGTTGGTACGATTGCACGCATCACACGAAAGCATTACTTTTTAGAGTGCTCGATTGTGCGAAGCGTTGCTGTAGTTGAAACACTCAACGTTAAGCATTATGCCGCATAATGCGCTAGTATGCTGTAATGGGAAAGCTACCAGTGCATCCCTGTCATTTAAATTAAAAAGGAGAAACTTATGTTAAAAGTTTTAAGTTCAGAGAATCATGTCAGAATCAACACCAGTGTATAAATTTGAAAGTAAAACTTGCATGCAGTTTGCCTACTGGCATGCCCGTAGCTGTTACACGTGCCAGTTCGGCTGCCCCTTGCGCCCCTTCCCTCAACTTGCATCACAAAAAAGCAAATGTTGTGTTAGCTCCTTGCTTGCCAGGTACACGCGACCAGTTAGCGAATACACATGATGCAAGTATGCAAGCTACAAGCTTGAATCTCCGCTTTAAACCATCGAGGAAAACATTATCAAAAAAACAAATAACGTCAATCCACTGAAGTCTATGAATTCGCTATCCCCCTTTTATTAACAAAGAATAGATTAAAGCTTGTTTCAGTTACGCAGTATTGTGTGCAAAATACTTCGTTTGCTATTATTCGTATTAAGGAGGGAATAAACAAAGAGCAAATTCGAATGTGTCTGTATCTTGCGCTATGTACGATATCCTTTGTCTATGATCGAAAACTATATTGGTAGTGGTAACACTGGTATGAATTTTCTACTTTATGTTTCGGCTTGGAAGATTTGTTTATTTCGCGGGAAACTGAAACGAATAAACCAAACAAAATAACTGTTAAAACTAAAAGATGGAAATTGATAAAATGTTAAAGCACGTTAGCGATTTAAATGAATACATCGCTATTACTCAAAAAATACTCTTGATGCCTATTAATTCCAAAATACAATTCAATATGTCGACGGTTCTATCATTGAAAAAAGTTAGAGCTTTAGAAATCGAGGTAATTTAATGAAAATGTTTTAATGTTGCTATTTATTTAAGCCATAACTTGCAAACTAAAGTAACGATAGCATGAGCTAAACAGTTTGAACACTATTAGAAATATCACAAATCAAGCCACATTTAGTCCATAATGTTGAAGACAGCAAATGTTCAGAAAATTAATTTGAATTAATCAAACTTATAGTACTTCAATAAATGTGAAGGAAATGGTGCTGCGTTATTATTGTTTGAGAGGATGTTAAAATTGCCACCGTCCAAGTCGTGGGTTTTGCTTGGAAAGGAATTGGCTTTGCTGCTGCAGTATTGGTTGGATGCAATGCGGAAACATTTGATTAAACACAATCATAACTGGTGGAATTTCATGAAACTCCTACTCAATTTTATACAAGTAAGAGAAATGGTTTTGTTTTCATGTTACCTAGTAAAAAACTAGGATCACATTTGATCTGAGGTAAAAAAAAAGCAACAAAAAGTTAACCAAGTACAAGTTTAAACAGTCAATGTAAAGTAATAATTATTATAATTAAGTTTGACTAAATTTTAACAACTTAAAATTATAAGACCATACTAAATATTTTGCACATATACATAAGTTGTTACTTAAGTTCACATCTCAATCAGATTCTTTAAGCAAAACTTACTAACTGTTTATTTTCATTATTAATGTGGTGTGATGCATTATAATACTTCTAAACTTCTAATATTTGTCTTCCAGTTCATGAGAGTCAAAGACCAGTCCTTGTCTAATATCCTTGTGGAATACACGGCAGAGTGTCTCTTAGATTTGGCCACAGGAAGTGAGCCTGATGTGCTACCAAGGCTTCAGATTCTTGTTAGTCTTAACCTGTGCTGCCGTGACTGTAGCAGGGACACAAGAAAGGCATTGAAAAAATGTTTCGAGCCATATTTGTAAGCTTTCATTCTTACATTATGATGTCAATATGAAAGAAATAAAAAAGCTGGAAATCGCAGTTTTATTATTTAACAATTTCAAATAGCTATCTAGACAACATTATTATTTTATCTGTCTATCCATGCTTCATGTTTTCACTGGTAGAGCATGACAAAATGGAAAAGGGCAGATGAAATTTGAATGTTATTTTCATTCACCTGGAAACTTATTGCATCACTCTTATTTTTCCCAACTTAGTTTACCATATTACATTCCAACTTTTTTTATTAGCTATGGAGATGTAGGCAAGTGACTCCACAACATTTAAAAAAAGTATCAGTGTCATAATTTCTATTATAGTTGCAATAAGTGAATCATAATTCCCTTTTTTTTCATTTTGCTTCTTCTACAATTGCAGCATGAAACTCTCCTCTTTATTAGCCAGCTGTGGACATTGGCCCACGCAGTATGCCATTATGGAAACTTTGATGAGATGGTTGGTAGCGAGGCATAATCCTATGGTAAGGCAAGAAGCTGCACCTCACTGGTTCCCTGAGAAAGTATATGGGATTGAAGCTGTTGAGCTGTTTTTGAAAAGGGATTTCCAGAATTTTCATTATGTATGCAATTTTATTTTTATGTTAAAAGGATAGCAAACAAGCATATTGCCTATCTGATGGTGAGCAGCCACCATAGCCATAGCCATAGCCTTAAAAATACACGTATATCTATGTTTTGGCTCTTATTTTGTCTCAATGATTGCAAAATTTGGCATTTTTCAAGTAGGATGTTGTATGGTAATCAAATTGATAGATTACCTACCTAAAAATTAACTGTCGGTTAGTAAGCTTTCACTATCTGTCCATGGAAAAAATAGCAGCACATTCTATGTTTGAAATGCTACAGTTACTGGTTTTCATTAAACAAGTCAAAAATTTTTTTTCCTGTAGTTACTTTCACAACTCATTTTAGGATGCCCGAGATTTCTTGAATGCTCACAACAACGTCACCAATCGAGTCGTCTCAGTGGTCTGTCGGAAAGCATCCATTGGCGATGCTGTGATTGCTTCGGTGAGTTACAAACATCATTATTTTCATGTTTAAAGAAAATTTGTGAAAAAAATTAACTTAACCCAGGTTTCAGGCCGGTATTGAACCTAAGATTTTCGCTTTCCGGTTGATCACTATGCTACTGCGATGTTTACGGGCCTGCTGAATTTGTTCGAGTATATCTTAGGGTCAGTTTACACCGAGACGCGATGCGACGCGATACTGTATCGCAACGTCGCGAGGCGCATCTTAAAATCGTTGGCAGTACCTACAACACCTCGCCGTGCGGCGTAGCGGAACCTGCTTACATTTGCCGGGTGCACCTGTTCTGCCGCGTCTAACTAAATAAATAAAATAAATATTTCCGCCACTCACACCAATTAGCCTAGCCCCAAAGTAAGCACTGTAAGGCTTGTGTTATGGGATACTAGGGTAACGGATAGAATACATATACAGTACATAAATAAGTATATTAATATAGAAAAACATATTAAACATCCATGACTGGAGTACAAATGCTCGTATTTATCACACAAACATCTGCCCCCACCGGGATTCGAACCCGGGACCTCTCGAGTCGGCGACACCATGAAACCCGGCGTACAAACCACTCGGCCACGGAGGTCGTCAACTGCTTTCTTCTTCCTCTTCTGCATGAAATTCAATTATACCAAGATTCCAGCCTATCATTATTAATTTTCACTCGAGCATTAGGTATAGTATCCTATATCTCGATCCAGGTAATAAACTATATGTGAGCCAAATTTCATCCGAATCCGTTGATCCGTTTTTGCGTGATTGAGTAACAAACAAACACATTCACTTCCGCATTTATAATATTAGTTAGGATTTGAATTTGTATAAGTATTTGTACCCAGTTTTAAATCTATTAACACAAAGAATTAGATTTTTCATACAAATTTTCTTATCCTCTTTTACCCTCTTAGAAGTAAATTTTCGATAAACATTGATACAAGTCATTCTTTATTCTGGTCTTTAATAAATATAGCAAGTTCCGAGTTACACGTTTGCGTGTTATGACTACGTGCCAAATCTGTAGTCTCAAGACCCAGCGGTTTGAGCCGTGCGTTTCTTCTTCTGTACGGTGGGTGTTTTCCGAAACTCGACACCAGGATGGCTTTAGTCATGCCATCCCAACTCTCCCAAGAAGTTCAGCATTCACTTGGTGTCCCTGCAGGCCTCGAGCAGTGTCTGCGGGCTGCCCAGGTGTGACATCCGTTGTCTGGTCACGCCTCTGCACTTGCAAGTTCGGGGCCCCACCAGGAGTTTTTGCTGCCAGGGTTGGTCTTAGGCTATATACTGAGGGGGCATGCATTCCGTTAGCCAGACATAATGGCCCTAGCTCCTCGGTGATCTTGTCTATTGTATCGGTGTCCTCAGCTCGGGGATTCCCGAGCTCCATGCGCTGTAGGGATTGAGTTACCTGTAGTGTATACTGTGTTTATATTTGTCTTCCTTGGTATACACCTAGGCGTCGGGACTGCAGTGTGTATTACAAGTTTGAAAGTAATCCATCAGTGGTTCGAACAAGAGGTTTGCATGAAAACCTTCCAGTCGAACACCAGATTCGTACCTGGCCCTGTCGCCACGTTAAGTCTATGATGGTTCTTGATGTTTTTGTCACAAATGTTGGAGTCGATCCTACTTTTACGATCTGTCGTAAAAAAAAGTTAACTAGCAAATGAAGACCTCCCTGGTCCTTGGCGCGGTTCTTCCGATCTGGGCTTCTTATGCTTCCCCTCGGTGATACCGTGTCATCTAGCCTTGGTCGCTTGGAGGTCACCTGTCTATCTGTCTGTCCGTGTGTCCGGCCAGTCTGTCTGTTTGTCGCTTGGAGTGCTGGTGTTCGTCGTTTTTTCAGCAACCTCCAAAGCTTTCTGTCGGTTCCTGATTTTCCTCGCTCTCTGACTGAGTTTAAGTTCATCAGTCCGTCCATCACTGTTAGGTCTGGGTTCGTCAGCAGTGCGACTCTTGTTCCGGTCACCAGCCTTCCGCTTTTTACGGCGAAGGGAGACAACCTTCCAAGAATCAAGCTCTGCTTCCGAACTGTCTTGTGCGTACTGCCTGACACCGGGTTTTTCCTTCAACAGGTCTTTGTGGGTTTTTTTTAAGGATCTTTATTGTTCCATGTCCACGTAAAAGTAAAAAATTTCATCCTCACCAGTCCCACCCACCAGGGAGCCACAACTAGGATGCCGATTTCAAAAATGAAGGCTACCGGATTATGATGGGGATATAGAGGGGGGGGGGGGGAGAGTTTTCCTCTCTGTGCGACATCAAGCTGCATGGCTGGTAGTCGATCCCAACTACCAGTGGTTCCATGCAACTTCGCTCCGTCAGCATGGCTGGTAGTCGATCCCAACTACCAGTGGTTCCATGCAACTTCGCTCCGTCAGCATGGCCGCAGCCCATCGCTAAATGTTAAAAGCGATCCCATGAACCTCGCCGGCGAGCCATAGACGGTAGCGCCTTGACCATTGCCAAGTGATCGACTACACCACGAGGTTGCCGTCTCGCTTGAAATCCGGGCCAAAATCCTGTGTGGCTTCCGGCGTGCCGCTGCTAACCTTTCCGCTCAAACACCAGGATCCCTTCATCCCCGCTTACGGCGATGCTGCGCAAGTCCTGACGCAGGAGAAGCTGACGTGCCACCAGGCCTCCTCCCTATTCCTGGTGGAAGGGGGTGAAGACGTCTGACTGTTTCAGTTACGTCTGTTTCATAGGGTATCAGACCAAGAACAGGCGGCAACCGCGGGAAGGAGAACAGTCAAGCTTGTCTGGGGGATCTACACGATCTGCGCTCGCTCCCCAAACCATATGTTACATTACCAAATGGGACACAGAATGGTAAAATAGGTGATGTGTTAGGTTTAGCCATCATTGTGCTATACACAAACCTAACACTTCCCCCGCCCTAAGTTGAGAGCTATGCGTTGATATGTCAAGCAGTCACTCAGTCTGTTTCTTCTTTTATATATTTAAATTTGTTAAACATTTACTGCTAGATGTATAAATCTAAAGAAAATAAGAACAAATTCCACACGGCCATTATAGTCGCAGTATTGGATTTGTTTCTAGTATTTTTTTATTTAAATACGATATTGATTTAGATATGATATGATGCGTTAGCAAAATAATGCACTGTGCGCTGATGTCAGCGCCAAATGAATATGTCATCGATAAATTGTGTTTTAGAATTCTTTCTATACAAATTGTTATTATTGGAAGGTTTTTTTAACATATAGAGTACAGAAAACAGAGAAGCATGGTTGGACGTGAATTGTGTTGACAAAAGTATCAGCGTGGTCGCAGAACCAAAACTGTTGGACTCTCTGGGCTGCACCACTGAATGTTCAGAAACGCTCATACTGGCCGTCGATAATATACAACATTTGGAGATTACCAAGTCAGTATTTTGAGTTAATGAGTTATTTTAATAGGTACTTTAGTTAACTTTTTAATATCCCTGTGACACTTATGAAATTTTATGTTTATCAGTTTTAATAGGGGAGTCCAAGCGGCGATTTCTGGATTTACTCAAACGCGGTAAAATAACATATGGGGGGAAAATCTTGCACCTTTTGAAGTACTCCCACCAAACCTGAATTCTCTATGTAGGGCCATACGTCTAGGGCGCGAAAGAATTAGGCTATTTGACAGTATGAAAAATAATGTACCAAGTTTTGATATTTGTATTTAATACGAAATACAAATGCCAAATAGCAGCAGTTTTACTATTCGGAAAGAAAAAATAATTAATATCTACTCTATAAAATCATTAAAAAGAAATGATTATTTACCCCATGGTCGCGTGACCGAAAACGCCTGGGATTGGCCAAGATTAAAATGACGTCACACGCTAGTATAATTTCGGCCAAAGTGACATTACATTGTACCGTTTCGCGTTTTAATGGCAGTCGTGAGACGCCATAATGTCTAGAGAAACGTTTTCGCGACAACCTTAAAAATGAATTTAGTTTTTTTTACTTAATTACACAGCAGTTATAAATGATATTCACTTTTTATTGACTCCATAAATATTAGTAAAAATAGTAGTAAATAACGTCATATCGTGAGGGTTCACGTTAAGTAGGGCTGCCATCTCTAAAATGTGGCAACCAGGATAAGGATTTTGAAGCCCAGAACCCGGACAGACCAATAAAAAAACAGTTACAAATGTCACAAATCAACTTTTTATGTTGATCTAGGCAAAAGAGCTAGCGGTCTACCTCATAATAAGTGGTCACTGCTGCCCATGGACACTTGCAGCACCTAGGGCCACTCATGCGTTGCCGTAAATTTTTAAACCCGGACTTCAAATAAAACCCCGCCCGGACGCTCCCCGGACGCCCCGTAAACTAGGACAAATCCGGGGTAACCCGGACGGATGGCAGCCCTAACGTTAAGCAAGTTTGCCCACCTGATGTTATTCTGCCGCGCTCGTGTAATCCGCATTTCGGGTCATTTACGTACGTCATTTTATAGGTAGGTAACGAATGCCTTTATTATAATTTATGCCGCCCCTCTTGGCGCTAGGGTAAATAGGTATACAAGCGGCAACTCATAACTGGATCCCGCAGTTATGCCTGGGGGGTCAGGGGCAGATTGGGGAGTTGGTTTACCTGATAGGTACGGGAGCAGGTCGGCTGGCTAGCCGCTCGGACCGCGGTCCCTGGCACTATTCAGGTGGCGCTGTGAACGGAGAAGCCCAGGTTCGGCTGAAGCGGGTTCGGACCGGGCTGCTGGTGGGAGACGGGGTGGTTTAACGTAGGTATGCCACGCTTGCGTGAGCGCACGTCAAAGTATACCCGCACCGACTAGTAGCCCTAGGGCTGCTCGCCGCTTGCTGAATGCACCACGCAATTACCTGCGTCGCGAGGGTTTGATCACAGCAAGCCGACGCGGCGTTGGTTATTGTCGTGGATATAGTGCATTTTTTCTCTCCGTCATCGAAAAAATATGGCGTAAATAGCTACGCCCCTGGGGCCCACTGCAAATTCAGTCAGGATCAACGTCATAGCGTAGCGTGTCTTTCGTAGAGTTGAGCTTGTGAAAAAAAAAATGTTTCGTCGCCCATCCTGTGATCGGCCATTGCGAAGGTGCTTAAATTCACGGGCCACTGCGCCAGAGCTCAGCTCTTAAGCAAGTTAATTAAAAGCCTTTACAGGGAATTAAAAACGACGATTTTAAAAAGTCTTCAACCTCTAGAAAGTTATATTACATTATTCCCCTGTATGACGTAGGCCATGTATTTTATCGCGCACATGCACTGCAGGCAAGACCGCTAGTTATTTAATCCGAAACTTCAGGAATGCTGACAGAACTAAGTAAATCGCGTTAATACTCGTTGAAAAAGCGTTTTATTAAATAATAATTATAGTAATAATTGTCCATTTTCCTAGGGACTCTTCAGGGGTAGTATTGTCCGTGTATATATTGCACGCGGCACAGCTTTTCCCATGCGGGGTGGAAATGAATGGACGAGAATTCAAAGCTCATATCGCTTCTAAGCACGTTGAGAAATTAGATCGGGCTCTTCGCGGTAACTACGACCATCGCTATAAGGTAATATTTTTCTACATAAAAGACAAAAACAAGTATTTAAAGAAAAGTAAATTTTTTTGAAAGCAAAAGTACTTAAATTATAATGTTAAAAAGATTGAAATTTAATTATACATTGTTTTACAGCTTTTGCTAGATCTGCTTACATTGTCTTTGTCACCGCAAGACTTTGAAAGGAAAACACCTGGCTGCATGGTACGAAATACCTTTGTCTTTTGTAAGAAATATATGTACACTTAGATTAAAACAAAAAGGGAAGATAAGGCACTCGCAGCTCGAAAGTGATCTGCTTAAATTGTGGTACATGACCACATTTCGCTTAAGTCACAATTGGACATTCAAGCACGCTGCAGGTGCACTCAATAAAACATTATTGAGTATATTCTATGTTTTAAAGATAAAATCGAGCCTTCGATGCTTTTATAAAGAACACAAATAGTTCAAAATCAATTAACAAATGCCTCGGCAACACTTTTCATTCGTAAAACTGTAAAAACATTTTTTCTTAAAACTGACGGTTTGTCGTGAATGTTATTTACGTAATCGCCATTTTGTTAAAAATAAAAGGACAACAATACAGCTCAGCCGTGCAGGCTCGGTTGCCGACTCGCCGTTTTGCTCGCGCTGCGTCGAAGCGTACAGTTCTGTCTCGCTCGCTCGATTGAATGTTTATTTACAGACGTGTGCGTGTGTGAAAGTTGCTAATGTAGTTGCATCGGAACATAAATATTTTATTTGATGCTAGTAGGAGCGTACCATGTCTTCTTTTTTTGGTTTGATCTAAGTATGTATATAATTTGTAGAAAAAGTTGCGTGCAATTTTTTTAACAAAGTCTGTCTTTATGTATTTTATACTGTCACAGCTTGATTCCTAACACTTCTTAATGTTTAATGTAAAACTTATTACAAGATTAAAAACAAATCTTTGGGCGTTCAAAATATTTGGCTGTATGGACTAAATACTCCTAGCCTTCAACATAGAGAAAAAAATAAAAATAACGACATGATAAAATAAAATGTGGGTAGTTTTGTATTTGTTAATGACATCTCCTTTTATTATCAAATTTTTCAAGTTGTTGTTATTATGGTTTTAGGAAGAAGATACACGGTTTTCTCATCCTATCGAAAGGCGTAAAATACGATCGGGTAAATACAGTTATTTAATACCTTACTAAATAAATGAAAATTTTGATAAAATTAGTCAAGTAAGAGTAAAGTTAAAGTTTTGGTAAAATGTGTTATGTTTTTTTTTATGAAAATCGGTCTTATGCGTTTTTTATTGTGATTATTTTGTTACTTAATATGTATACCACATTTGTTATGTCTTGTAAGTTCACTATATTAAAGATAAACTATTAGCATCGATAGGTATCTTAAAGAGAAATCGCGTCAGCTTCCATTGTTTATTTAATAACATTGAATATCACAGATCCCCAATTCCAGGAGATCTGTGTACAACATTTTAAAAACAGCCGGTGTGAAACCTTATTTATTTAAAATTAAAAAAAGTTTACAAGAAAAATATCTAATAATAAGATTTTTCTAGTAAACTTTTCTTTACATTTAAACATCTAGAAGTTAAATGCTTAAAAAAAAATTAAAACATAACAATGTTTATTCTCAAATTCAGCAAAATCTGTTCATCAGCTCAGGTCAGAAAGCCCAACATATATACGGGTACTTTCACATCATCAGCCCATTAATGTCCCCACTGCTGGGGACAGGCCTTCCTTATGGATAGAATAGGGAGATTGGGCCCTGAACCATCACGCGGGCCAAGTGCGGATTGGTAGGTGCTAACGACTGCAGATGCAGCCGGGACCAATGGATAAACGTGCCTTCCGAAGGACGCAGGAGATCGAGATAGTAAATTTTTGGTCACCCATCCAATGTACGACCGACGTTCGCAGCCGAACGCGCTAACCACTTGCGCCCTCGAGTTACTTTAGCATTGTAATTAAGTACGTATATAAAATTACCAGTAATTTTATATACGCACTAAAATGTCCTTCCCCAGGACTCAAACTATCTCTTTCCTAAGTTTCATCTAAATGTGTTCAGCGGTTTGAGCGTGAATGCGTAACAGACGGACACGTATTTATAATATTAATATGGATGGTATGATTGTATCTAATGGTGGCATTTCACATGGTTATTTAGTGTTAGCATTATTTTATCCTATGATTTTGATGCCTTATGAAAGTCGTTAAGTAATTTTTGCTGTAATTTTTGTAAGGGGTGCTCGATGGCGTAAGTGGATAGCGCGTTTGGTCTGAAATCGTAGAAGTTAACTTTATTAGCGGCAGAAAAGATGAACGTCTAAAAATTAAATGTTTCAAGTTCCTTAGAGTGCTTTGGAAGGCACGTTAAGCCGTTGGTTCCGGCTGCATCAGAAGTCGTTAGCACCCACCAATCTGTACTGGGCTTTTTTTTAATTACGCAGACAAAACCTCTGCAGTCGTTGGCGCCCTTAAAGGGCACATCAACGAACGGACCTCACACCTAGCCTCTCGCAAGTCTCACGGGTGCGAAACGGAGAAACCGTTAAGCAGTCCGCACGGGAGCGCTTGCGGCATACTATCCGCTAAAAACCCTGCGAATACCCACTACGCTGTTAAGTGCGGAACCGCGATATCCCTGTTGAGGGACTTTTCACCGCGTCTCCGCACCCAACAGCCTCCCAGCCTGGCCGGCGGGGCTCAACAGCAGGGATCACCCAGGGTATCTCACGTGCGCGGCATATTGCACCGCTCCCCATACGCTGCGGAAGGACTGCCTAGCAACAATATTAAATACCCTAGATACAACATCACGAACAAAATCGTGGCCGAAACCTGTCCAAAAGGTCCATTCGTCGATCCACGGAGCTCCGTAAGCTTATCGCGTAGTCAAAAACAATTATTTAAACATTTAAAGTCACCTGTAATGCACACTTTATGAGGTTTTAACTTAAACGCATGCTTCAAAAAGTTATGACAGTTCGAAATGCAAGCTTGTAAAATTTTACGACATATTGCTAAATGCGGAGACCTTATTTCTTTGTCTCTACGCACAATTCTCAATGCGTTGTTAGCAAAACAGCAGGTACGGACCGCGAGGAAAAGAGACTGCTATATTACCGACCATGCATTTGAATATCGCAAATATTCTATTTATAAGGTACAGCGACAGAGTAGAAATTACAACATACACATTATTATTTAAAAATTATTGTATTACGTAAACTTGCACCCCAATTGATGCTGAACACGACGTTTACTTAATTTTAGCTTAAATTTAACAAGTATTAGAACAAAATTTGCTTCAAATGCGTTAAATTAACAAATATTGAAAAAGCGACACTTTACGTACTATAAGTATTTCTTTTGCATTCGTTGTTGTCTAGGCGTTTCCTCGCAGGCCCTTCCGCGGCCCTCTCATGTAGAACAGAACTACAAGACAGGGCTGCCGTCACGAAATCCTTCGGTGACCGGCATAGCTTACGCTATGCCGGGCAGCGCGGGATTCCCTCAGGCTTCCCCTACCTGTTCTTCTGCGGCGGGAGGAAGCGGCCAGAAGATTATCCACCTGAATCTGTACTGGGCCTGCGTGGTGGGTGATGGTTCGATCTCCAAGGGTAGGCCTGTGCTCCAGCAGAAGAGACATTAATAGGCTGACGATGATTATGTATGAATGTTGTATAATTCTAGTTATTTTGTAGGGTATATGGTTAGATCGCGACACCCAGGGGCATGGAAGTCGCCGTCAACAGCCTCAACTAGTTCTTTGTCACAGGTAAATTTATAAAACATTTTTAGTACCCTGCACCTTTTAATATTTATTCTAATCGTCGTAAATATGATTTTTTGAAAAGATTTATCAAACTTGAAATAGATTGCCAGATTGTAGATGTTATTGGTAAATAATCCACTTTATTTCTTCTGTATCTATGATATTATAATTAGAGAGAGAGAGAGAGAGAGAGAGAGATTAGAAGTCTCAGGCTACATATTAACGCAGATATTTTTATAAAATATGATAAGTGAAATTAACTACACGAGTATACCAAGTCTGTAGGCATGTTCGCTAACTGCTTTTGACAGTAGGAAGTGGTAATCACCGAGCTATTTAGTGATCCACTACTGCTTTATTATAACGCCACTAAGATACTTGGCTGAAAAGCGATGTCGATGGATATACAATTTTCGCTTTAGTTGCACACTGTAAATGTCAAATAAGTTAGCGAGGAGACCGGCTGAACTCATTTGTGAAATGTTACGAATAGAGTTATTAGTAAGTTTAATTTTTCTATCATACTATTGTTATAAATTGTAATCTAAATTGTTTCCATTTCAGAGTTTAGGCTGTGATTAACATAAAATTTTGTTTCAGCTGCACGAAAAGCTTGCTCAGTTGCCTCGTTATAATTTCGATAAAGAAGCCGTCCACGTTTATGCTTTACCCGAACTTTCTACAGTGACAGAAGTTAGCGAACCAGACGATAGACATAGCTTCGCATCTGCTACCACAACGAAGATCTATAGACCTTACGGTGTATGCCAGAAGAGATTTACAGATGCCAATATAAGAAAAGAGAAGAAATACCAAAGCGATGGGGAATTACAGAAGAAATCTAAAGTTGGCCGCCGCTTATCTCCTACAGTTGATGTCGATGAGAATTCGACTAGTTGCTTATTAGTGGCAACTGTAGGATCCGACGAATCAGTCATTAACGAAACGCTCGAGCGCTTCAATAAATCGAAGGATTTTCAAGGAGACAACATTGTTGATCTTATTGTACAAGAAGCTTTGAACAGGGATCAAGAACATATTCTAGACAGCGGTATTAATACAGGTGATAATAGAAAAACGCAAGAACAAGAAAACATCCAACTGATTGAAAACACTCTTATTGATAATCCGAAGGTCGTAGAGAAAACGTGCATTGTTATAAGCAATACTACCACAGATGAGTCAAATGATGTGGTTAATAATACTCCTTTGAATTTTGTCAATGTCACAAAAAGGAAGAAAGAGTTTAAAGAAAAGGCAAAAGTGACTGTAGAGAACCCAAAAGAACGGCCAGTATTTGACGAGCAGGTCATAGAAAACTTTTTCACTCAACATTTGAACGAAACCCAAAGGGGAGAAGTCGTCATAAGTCCAACTTTAGCGAGAAAGATCAATGAAAGTAGTTCAGATAGCGAGCATTTCGATGAATGCTTATTTAACAAAGATGTTATTTTAAATACATATTCAAAGGAAATTGTAGACATAAACATTATTGAGTGCCTTAACTGCATGGTTAATAAAGTTTGTAATGATTTAGAGAAATGCACTGAAATGTTTGATAAGGAACTCAACAACATAGGATTTTTAGAGAAAGAAAACGTTGAATCTATTTCTAAAAACAAGTGCGATTTGCAAGAGGTTTTAAATGCCGAGAATGTTATCACGGATTCTAAAAACGATCCTGAAACTGTTGATGATTCGAATAAAGAAAACAATGAGCTAGAGTCTAATAATAATTTACCTCTTACAGATTCCAAAAAAACTGATAAAAATACACTAAATAATAAAGAAAAGACACCACCAAGATATGTGGTAACGCCAAAAAGGACTATCAAATTAAGGTACCCCACTAAAAAGGCAGAGAAAACGCGCGCCAATCCAAAAAAGAAAAATAAAAAAGCAGAAACCAAAGCCGTTTCGACAATGCCTCCGACCATGGCTGCCCGAAATACAACCGATGAAGATCCAAAAAAAGAGAATCATAATGAAACAATTGATTCGCCGACTAATAAATCTGATTATAGTTTACCTCTCGCTCGTAGAAAACGTAAATTATATTCGCCCAAAGAAGGGGATATGGGGCAAAGACGAAACAAACAATCATCAGACGAAGACGAAGATAATGATTTCAAAGTCTCAAAAATCAAATCCCCGCATTTTAAAGGCACCTCTTACAAAGATATCGAAGAAGATCGCCAAAAATTGTTAACAAAACCACGTACAAGAAAATCTTCTAAAACGGGACCCACTTTGTCGCCAAGGACGAAAAACATTAACGACATCTTCGACCACCTTAAAGATAAGATAGAATCAAACGACTCTGTTATTTTTGCTGACAAAAAGCTTGACAGAGATTTAGCAGCAGTATATAATTTCACGAGCGACAGTGAAGATGAGGATTTCAAAAAGAAGAAAATTGAAGTACAAAAACGATTTAGTTCAACAACTATAGCTAGTGGTGATTCTCTAATATCTACGCGTCATTGCAGGACAGTCAACAGAATAAACTACTCAGAAAGTAGATCGTCTGATGAAGTTAACAAGAAAAGTGTTCTTAAACCAAAAGGAAAGAGGCGTAAAAGGCAGACAAAAGCCCAGCAGCTAAAAAAAGAATACAATTTAGTAGATGAGAGGATGAGAAAAGCCACACCAGAAGAGTTAAATACGTCGTTAATAATAGAGAAACCTTTGCAAAAACCTATAGAAGAGCCTAAACTGATACTGAACAAGCAACCTGTTATGATAGCAATTCCTGATGAGTCGTCAGTTGAGTTTGAAAATAAACACGGTAACACCGAGAAAAATATTAAGAAAAACAAGAGAACACAGGCTCTTTCTCTTAAAAAAGAGAAAACGAAGAATAAAAGTGCACCAAAAGAAATAATTGTCGACGATGGAAGGGAGAGTCCCTTGCCCGGATTATTGGTTGAAACAATGCCAAGAAATCGAAATGATAACAATGATTCTATATCTGTGAATATGTTACAGAAAATGCAGAGAATACACCACGAGGGTCCTGAAACTAGTATAAATGAGACTAACACAACACAGAATCTTATCGGTGATTTAGACAAGATAATTTGTAGCTCACCTCCAATGAACATAACAGAAGAATTTAATAAGATTGAAAGTGAAACCATTATGGATGAAACCAATGTACAGACCCGACCGAACAAAAGAGCTACAACTAGAAAAGATGAACCAATTATTTTAGAAGAACCAAACTTTAAAATATTAAGAAGAATTAAAAAGGAACACAACGTTAAAAGCAACAAACAGAAAAACAGAGACAGCACTGAAATAATTGAAATTTCTTACACCGAAGATAAATCGGATAAATCTATCTCAACAGTAGGTGATTATCCAATCAGAGCTCACTGTGATAGTGATGAAGCACCGCCCGACCCCAAACTCCTTACGCAAAATTATGAACATAGAGACATTGAAATTGAAGACTTGGATCAGTCTATTAAAGACTATTTTAATAAACTAAGGAGCGAAGTTGTCCCTGTAGTTAGACACAAACCAAGCACCTCTGATGATACTCCAAAAAGAAAGAAGGAGGTCCAATTAAAACCGAAAGAAATGTTGCCTGTCGTTACATTGTCGAAATTGTCTATTGACGATATTTCAACTTCTGATGATACTCTAAGAAGAAAGAAGGAGGTGCAATCCAACCCGAAAGAAAAATCGCCTGTAGTTTCGTTGTCGAGATTGTCTTTTGACGATATTTCAAAATGGCTGCCGTCTAGACGCAATTCGGATACAAACTCCAGTTATTCTGCAGTCGAGAGTGAAAAACGACCCAATTTCAATGTTAACTTAATGACGCACTCCAAAAATCATTCTGATAAGAATCCTAAAGAAATCGAGCCAGCTATAGAAAATTTCGATGATATTATTTCTGAAATCAATACCAAGAGCGGTAAAAAGTATGAAATTAAGTCAAAAAAGCATTCGATAAAAGAACAAAGTAAGAATGAATCCAAAATTTCCAAACCAAAAGATTCAGATAGTAACAACGCAGGAGATAAAAGCCCAATCGACATATCAAGGAATTTTAAGACTCCGGAAAAACTACCAGACAAACGCGTAAAAGATACATCACCAAAACCAAAGAAATGGCTTCGTTCTCATAATGAACATGATACACCAGTAAAACCGAATACACCACAAGAATTTACCGATAAACATCAAAAGATAAGGAAATCTGTTATATCTCCTATTAAACTATTTGAAGACATATTTCCTTCGACTGCAAACGAACAGTCTGAAGACGAAAACGATAGTGTACCTAACGCTTCAGAAAGAGACAAGGATAAAAAATTAAGTAAAGTTACGAAAAATCTAAAGGAAACGGAAGAAAAAGAAAACTTTGATACATCTAGCCCTGTATCGAAAATTAGTACGTCGACTAGAATTAATGCTGATATTACTAATAGATTAAAGAGGAAATCTGAGAATCATCAAATAGGTCACGCGAAGAGAAGACTGTTGGACAACACAGTCGCTGTGTTGTCAGAAAGCGAGCACAGCCCTTCCAGTGTGATGGAGTGGTTCAGGAAGAATACTCCCATGAGTAGAGGTAAAAAATGATTTATGTCCAAAGTTAGTTTTTTGTTAATCCCATTGGAACCTAAACTTTCTGGAACTTAATTAGATAGAGATCCAGGTAACCAACTATGTATATAAATGTGGCAAATTTCATCTAAATCCGTTCAGTCGCTTTCGTTTCGCGTGTCGAGTTACAAACATACAATTTTTCACACTTTTAATTAACATAGTTAGTAGTAATAACACCATTGTTTATTTAATTTATATTTAAATCGATATCAGAATAATATAATGCGATGTAATTCTTTATTCCCTTTATTTTTACAGCTGAGAATATGAATGCGTCGTTCACAGAAGCCATACAAAACGTTATGGAGAAATTGGACACAACCCTCGCTGAGATACACCAGCACACCAGTAAAAAGTACGTAAATATTATTCATGATTCGGTAGACATGAAAAGTTTCTAATTTATTGTCTTTTAAATATGCGAAACAGATACTGAACTAATCTATACATATAATAAAATGGTAGGAAAGTCAAAACTGTACATTGAATGTTTTTTTACAAGAATACTTGGGGTGATTACGTGAAGTGGGACGGAAGTGTGTTACAGCAAGTTTGGGAAGCGCGCGCTATTAGATTTGATTTTAGAACAATGTTCAGATGGCTTATTCCTTTTGTAGTAGGTTTTATTTCTTTTTTTACTCATATAAGGTTTCAAATGTTACATACGCGGCTACTGTAAGGCTCGCTCGTTTTTTTTGTTTTAATCTAAGTTCTTAAATGATTAACTAAACCTAAAACTAAATTCAGGATCAGTCTCCTTTTCATTCTCTATAGATATAATAAGGGCATACTTTTGTTAAATTTATTTTTTGGTTTAATGAATCCAGGAGGATCCATCCAATGAGGTCCACTAACAACGATATTAAATACCCTAGATACACCACGTGCGCTCAAAATGTGTCTCTTTCAAGAAGTGCTTGAACACAACTCGAGCACTTCTTGGTTCACACTTCACAGTCACACGCGGATCGTTGAAAAGTCAACATGCCGCCGCCGAACTCCGTGATAAAATACGAAATAAAGACATAAAGTATGTAAAATGACGTTTTTTCGACAGTTATCTAATCAATGTTTGTTAATTTAACGAATTTGAAGCAAATTTTGTTTACATACTTACTATAAACGGATTAAATAGAAAATCTTTGTGATATTCAAATGCATGGTCGGTAATATAGCCGTCTCTTTTTCTCGAGGTACGTACCTGCTATACTGCTAACAGCGCATTCAGAATTGGGCGTAGAATCAAAGAAATAATTTTGCGTATATAGCAATAAGTCGTATAATTATACGAGCTTACATTTCGGACTGTCTTAACTCTTTGACGCGTGCGTTTTAATTAATTTTAATTAACGTGTGCTTTAAAGTTTATTATTTTAATGTTTAAATAATGCCTTATATTGTTTAGACTACGCGCTCATCTTACGGAGCTCCGTGGATCGTCCAATGTACCTTTTGGACAGGTTTCGGTCATGATTTTGTTCGTGTTGCTGTATCTAGGGTATTTAATATCGTTGTCCACTAAGTCCATCATCGACTGAATAAAAATCATGAATTGTTAATATATTACCCAGCTTCATCCATATGTTTGTGAACGCCCAAAATCGTCTCGCCGCGGAGAGACAAGAGAGGCGACAGATGTTCAGAGCGGTCGCTTCCGATATATTGAAAGAAGTTGTCAAAGTTGTGGACGCCAAGTTTGCAGAAATTGATCAGAGGTAAGTCAATTTTAAACCTAAGTACTGGAAAATAAATACAGTGCAAAACAGTGTTTCTTACAGACACTAGCCACAAACTAATGAGCTCTAGCGGGGATTTTGGATTTACTCGAGTGCGGCAGATCAATATAACTCTTAAATCAAAAAATCATTTATTCAGTCTAGGCTGTTACAAGCACTTGTGAAGGTCAAGAAGCTACGCCATCGGTTTGCAAAACTACGGCGTGAGACCTTGTATTGAGAAGAACCGGCAAGAAACTCGGCAAGGGCTGTTTTTTTCTCCCTGTATTGTTATATACAGAGTCGTCAAGTTGAAAAATCACTTTAGAGAAACTTCTGAAGTCACCTTCCACTAATCATTATATGTGGGGCAACCTTGCCCCTTGTGAAGTACTCCCACCATACCGGAACCCTCTATGTAGTGACGAACGTGTAGGGTAGCAAAAACAAATTTTCAACAAACGCCCACGACTTTTACTCGTGTACAAATCGTTAGACTTTTGAATTGCTGGTACTGGAGATTTCACGTAACGTTTTGAGGATGGGAAAAAATGATCTACTGGTTTGCATGCTTGTGGCCAGTTCGAAGGGGTAGAATTTCTGACGATTTGAATGCGACCAAAAGTCGTGGATGGCATTTTGTTGAAAATTGATTTTTATTTTTTTCATAACTATTATTTCCTAATTTCATTTGCAAAACATAAGACATTGCAAAATTGCAAAACATTGCAAACAAAGTAATAACGGCGAACAAAAACCATTCAAGGTTTGTCCTTCGCCATGTTCACCAGTTGGACAGTAAGTAGGTACATACACAAATTATTATCAATGAAATGCGGGTAGAATTACTATTTTCCGTCAGAAGATCGCGCACCTCATCATGTCGCCAATGTATTGATGACGATGACAGATTTTGCTGCCCTAGACGTTCGTTACTACATAGCAGCGTTGCCAGATTTTTTTTTGCCAAGTCGAGATTTAGGAATTCTTTGAGTAAAAAAAGCGGGATTCTTTCGTCGAAAGCGGGACATATTAAAAAAACGTATATAATCAAAAGTTATTGAATATTTTATCTTCATTACGCGCCGGCCAGGTGGTCAGTCCACACTTGTCTGTGCCACCTACCCGCGCTTTCTCAGTACGCTGCACGCACGGTAGAGTTATTCCCGAAAAGCGGGATTGCGTGTCCCGCGCGGGACATTAAATTTTGATTTAAAAATCGGGACGTCTGGCAACGCGGCTACATAGAGAGTTCAGGTATGGTGGGAGTACTTCACAAGAGGCAAGGTTGTCCCCATTGTTGGATGAGATGTTAATCTGCCCCGCTCGAAAAATCCAAAAATCCCCGCTTGGGCTCCCCTACTATAAGCTGGACTTCTGTTATAATCATAATTAAAATCATTTATTCAGTTTAGGCTGTTACAAGCACTCATGAATGTCTAGAATCTACGCCATCGGTTCGTATATCAACGGCGGGAGACATTGTACTGAGAAGAACCGGCAAGAAACTCAGCAAGGGCTGTTTTTTTCTCCCTGTTTTATTATTTACAGAATCGTCAAATTGAAAAATGACTTCAGAAATTATTCATGAAGTCACCTTTCATTACATAATGATTAAATATACATTAATTCTTTACCTGCATTTTGATTGCTTTGCATTGTCATACAGCATAAATACAAATAGTGTTATTTTTATTAAGTGTGACTAAACAATAACTTCAATATTAAGGAAGTTAGGGCAGACTCATCTCCGCTGGCAGTGTTGCCAGCGGAGATGAGTCTGCCCTAACTTGCCCGTGAACGGGTGTCCGTTCACGGGCATGACGCATGAACCAGCCATCGCTTCGCTCAACCATATTTTAGGGAACGTAACGACCCGCCTCACACGACACCGCCGAAGAGACTATTAAGAGAGCATGACTACAACTACCCATACTAACTACAACATATTTACTTAAATTAAGGTCATTTACCTGTAGGACACCGCAAACAATTACAAAAACAAAGCAATGGAGAAATCACGATCACGCCGTTTATGTTACTAGGGTAACGGATAGAAATACATATTAATGATACATAGATAAGTTTTGTTAAAATATATATAAACAGCCTTGATTTTGCCTAGAATGTGTAAAATATTTAGATCTCCAAATTGAAGAATTCCTAAACGAAATGCACAGAACATTTACTATCAAAATATTAAATCTATAAAATATCCAGGTCGCAAGAAATGAACATGGCATTCATGAAGCAGCTAAAGACACAGGCTCTAGAACTGATTCGGGACGACTGCAAGAAAAAGCAAGTTATGGTTTCTCTCCTGAGGGAAGACGTGCAGGCAGTTTTAGACTTTATGAATAAGGCGCAAACGGATAATTGTTGATTGAAACAATATAGTACTTATTTTAAAATAAGCATTTAATTAAAAAATAAGAAGTGTATGATCTCAAAAATGTTGTTTTTAAATTTGCATAATGTCTATAACATGGTGTGGAAATTATATAATATCATTTTGTTTAAATTTGCATTTTAATTGTTTTTTTTTTTAATATTTCTAATAATTGATTAGATGTTAATAAGTACGATTGTTGCGTTGGTAATTTAATTAAAATGAATTTATTTTAGCGTTGTATTGTGTTAAACTAAGATTTTTTTTCTTGTTAAAGTTATAAGAATAAATTAGTTTATTAAAGAACAGTTATTTAAAATTACTTATTGGAATTTTATTTTTTCGTGTTTCAGTGAAAATGACGTTCCCGCGGGTGTCACAATGTGAACTTCTCCGAAACGGTTTTGCCGATTTTTTGAATATATTTGGTAGGTCTGAGAAGAGCGTAGGCAATTTTTTTGTACCCCTCGGTGAAAAGAGTGCGTCAGGACTCAGGACCGCTTGAGGTTTCTAAAAATTGACGAGGTGTATATTATAAAACTATTATAACACTACCTTTCTATTATGTAAAAAAGCGCAAAGTACTATTTATTTGTTCACATATACAATTTTATAATGGAAAGAAATAAATCAATTTTATTAGCCTTAAACATAGTCATATTAACATAAATAAAACAAGCCAAAATAGGCCAATTGGGTCCCTGCCTCAGCCTAATACTAGAGCAACGCCAGGGCTGCTAGAGCGCTGATGATTCTGGCAAATGTACATCTCGTAAAATTTCAAGCGGCTCTGACGCACACGGTGAAGAGGATGAGATTATTTTCCGTTGTCTACGGGTCGCGGACATAGCCAATATTTTTAAGATGTGTGGAAGGCCCTTGTCCATACAGACGTAAAATGGAACTAGGACATCTGAACTGTGAAATAAAATGAAGCAATCCCATTTTGGGTTTATTTATATCAAGATGTATTTGCTTTAATCTTACGATTCAACTAATTAACATGTAAAGAAGATAGGTATGTTAAATTCGATACTAAATAAAAGAACGGAGCATGTTTAAAACTTATTATATTTACGAAAAATAATTATATTTACAGATACAACAAGTTAATACTTATATATAAATCACTTATTGTTGAATATATTCTGAGAAAATAATTGTTTAAAACTAATAGGGTACCTATTTGACAAGTTTTAAAAAACGATCACATCCCGTAATTTACTTATATTTATGGAGTCCATTAAAAGTGAATATTCATCATTCTGTTGTGTATTTCAGTGAAAAGATTAAAACATAAACTTCATTTTCTAGTTGCCGCGATAATTCTCAGGACATGAAAATGTCAAACTATACAATTATGTAATGACTTTTTGACCGGAAGTTTACTAGCGTGTGACGTCATTTTAGTCTGCCAATCCTATCCGTTTTCGGTCACGTGACCATAAAAAAACTTTTTAATAGTTTTCTAGAAAATTTGTAAATTATTTGTTATCTCAGAATAGTTAAATCGCTGCTAATATTCATATCAAATACAGATGCCAACTACTGGTACTCTATTTTTCATACTGTCAAATAGCCAAATCAAACAGTATTGGCGAAATTTAGGATGTTGATAAAATTGGTAACATACAATTACATCTAGTTATCTGAACGGTTAAACAAAAAGACAATCAAATAAATTAATTGACTGGCTATTTACCACATTGCCACTCATAGAGTTGTTACAAACCACTTTTAGGTAATAATAGCTGAGCATGATTATAAGGAAAAGAGTGCAAGCCATTAATGCCTTAAAGTGTAAGTGGTGGTGGTGGATTGCACAACAGGTTTAAAGTTCATACAAAATAGAAGCTTCGCGATAGAACTAAGTTTAGTGAAAATCAGACTGATGGTTGAATTGTAAAAAACTACCTTTACCACTAGCATGAGGAGTCGTTTTTACTTTTATCGTACAAACGCGAATCACAAACAACGATATTAAATACCCTTGATACACCACGAGCACTCAAAATGTGTCCCAATCAAGAAGTGCTTGAACTGGACTCAAGCACTTCTCGGTTCACAGTCACGCGCGGACCGTTACAAAGTCAAGATGCCACAGAGGTCCGCGAAAAAAGCGAAAATAATACTTAGAGTACGAAAAGTGCCAATTTTTCGACAGGTATCTAGTCAATGTTTGTTAATTTAACGCATTTGAAGTAAATTTTGATCTAATACTTACTATAAACTGATTTAATATTAAATATGTGATATTCAAATGCATGTTCGGTTATACGTCGCCATATAGCCGTGTCTTTTCCTCGCGGTCCGTGCCTGCTATATTGCTAACAGCGCGTTCAGAATTGCGCGTAGAGTCAAAGAACTAAGGACTAAATTCTTCCGCATATAGCAATAAGGCATAAAATTTTACGAACTAGTATTCCGAACTGTCAGAAGTCCTTGACGCATGCGTTTTATTTAAGACCTTATACAGTATGTTTTATAGGTTACTTTCAATATTTAAATAATGCCTTATGTTGATTTTGACTACACGATCATCTTATAGAGCTCCGTTGATCGTTCAATGTACCTTTTGGACAGGTTTCGGGCACGATTTTATTCGTGTTGGTGTATTTAGGGTATTTAATATCGTTGATCACAAACCTCAAACTTAGGACCTACTTGGTAGTTACGGTTTATACAACTTATTTAAAAAAATAGGACCTTCAATAACTTTTTTTGACCTAGCAACAAAATCTTTATTAACAGATTAGTAAAGTTTGTGATAGCGCATAAAGTTCAACATTGCGCATACTTTTAGCTTCACAAATAAATGATATGTTTATGCACTCATAAATAAAGATTAAATTTCTGATTAGACGCACAAAAAGTTCATCTGCGTGTAATAAAAAGCCTCAATTAAACCAATATTCTAGTTCGTTTTGACTTATCCAATCACTATTCGTAACATTAAATCTTCTCTTAGATCCATTAAACCACTGTCATTCTTTTGCAATTAACTATAGTCTACTATAGTTTCGACAAATGACTCCACCCTATCTGAGGTTAAGTGACAGTGAAGTCCAGACGCGACGCTGCATGTTGCTTCTTCACGTCTCTTTTGAAGGCTCCCAGGTTGTAAGATGGAAGGGAACACGTGAGCGGGCAGAGCATTCCATTTACGGATTTTATTTCTAATAGGAAAGAGTTCCTTTTGGCTTCTCAAATTATAAGTTCATGTCTTAGGTTGGCCGACATTACAGTTCGTTATCGCTTATCACTGTCACTATGAGTCGTCTTGACTGGTTGCTACTTGTGCTAAGTAAACTTGTTGCTGGGGCTGATGTTGCGCTTGCGACGAAACCTGTACGCAAAATTGTGTGATTTTATTATTACATTAGATTTGTAGATTTTTCTTATTAAACAACTACATGTTTGCATAATAACTAAAAAAAAATAACCCAGTGAAGGTTTGGATGGTACAGTGATGGTATGTGTAATCGTTAAGCAAGTTTCGAAATGGTTTGTCGGGATATTCCGTGCTTCGGAAGGCACATTAAGCCGTAGTTAGTTCTATTTGAGTTGTTAGCACCCACTAATCCATAATAGCCCAGCGTGGTGGATTTTAACCTGTGAGAAGGGCTTGTGCCCCAGCAGTGGGGGCATTAATAGGACGATGGTGATGATTTTAACCTAATGACTCTTTTGATCGCGGGATCGATGAAATATCTAAAGAACCTGCACCCTCCGCTATCCGGGAGGATGCACTGACCATTATGCTACCGCGGCCCTAATAGGGTATTTGACAGTATTAAAAATAAAGTGCCAAATATTAGCATCTCTGTTTAGAATGAATATAGGCAGGGGTTTTTACATTTTTACAAAAAAATATTCATAATTTTACTAAAAACCCACGAAGAAGATAATAGTTTTCTTATCTATTGTCACGTGACCTAAAACGCTTGGGATTGGCGGAGCCCAAAATGACATCACACGCAAGTAAACTTCCGGTTAAAGTGACATTACATTGTATAGTTTGGCGTTTTAATAACAGTCGTGTGACGTCACACACTAGTAAGACGCCATATTGTCCAGAGAAACGTTTTCGCGGCAATTGAAAATGGAGTTTATGATTTGGTTATTTTTTCTGAAATACACAACAGAATGATGAATGAGCTGTCAAAATTCGTGCTTGGGTAAAGCACCAAGCACGAATTTTGACAGCTCCGTAATCGCATCGCACCGTCAAAGTTTCTATGAAAACTAAGCAGCGCCCCTGCCGGACGTAAGAACAAACTGGTTCCTTTCATACAAAATTTGATAATGGCGATACGATTACGGACTGAGCCTCTGAACACATATTATAAATGCAAAAGTGACTTTGTTTGTGACGACTCTCATAGCTAAACTGCCGAACTAAATAATGATAAAATTTAGCATAGAGAAAGACGGGACAATAGTTTTCTACTAATAATACTTATTAGTTATTTATACCTGTATGATTTGTGGAGATTGCTGAGCTTGTGCTTGTATGATGATAGGCTGCGTCGGGTTGTTCTGAACTTGCAGCCGGATCATGTTCAGTTGTGCTTGAGTCAGCTGGATCTGTTAAAATTTACGAAATAAATTAGTCCCATGTGTGTCACGAAGGCACATTAATCACGAAAGTAGGAAAGATAAGTAGAGCATAACGGATTTTTCGCTTGCAACTTAGTCAAAGACGATATAAAAAAATCTTTAATCGTAACGGAAGCATAGTACAACTCTTGAATCGATCAAATTTTTGTCCTTATTTTATTATTGTTATGGAGTAAAATGGATTTAACAAAACAGAAAAAGAGGAGCTATTTTCATTTAACAGATTTCAGTGAAGTAGCTTCGCTCTTTGGTGGTTCACGACACGTTGAGTGCCATGGGTTGGAGCCCCACTGTCCCCGCGTTCCCACTGTCCTCCTACCGTCAATATACTAACCGGCACCTGATGCAACTCTCCTGAAGGCGTCATCACTTGCTGCACGGGTTGGAGCCCCACTGTCCCCGCGTTCCCACTGTCCCCCTACCATCAATATACTCACCGGCACCTGATGCACCTCCCCAGAAGGCGTCATTACTTGCTGCACGAGAGCCACAGGCTGGGGCCCCACTGTCCCTACGTTCCCACTCGTCCCCGCATTTCCCCCTGATCCACTTGCCTAAAAACATATATTTCATTTTCACTAATATAGGTATTTATTTACACGGAACACGGTATGTTACATGACACAGCGCCGCTCGGATGTTTTATTATGCACTTTTGTTAGACACTGAGTCTACTTGTTTTTATACGTCAATGTTCTCACCAGATGGCGCCCCTGTTGAGTGAGGTTCTCAAGTGTGACTGATAAAGTTTGCTAATACGCGCATGAAATACGCATTTATTATGCAGTTATGATTATTAAATAAAATTACGAAAACCGACGAGGCCGTATTTAATTGGACCAATGTTTCGAATGTTAACTTTAACTTTTAATTGTCATTATTTTTAATAAATGCTTATCTCATATTATTATTGTGTTATTTTTTTCGCAAATGGTACGAAAAGTAAAGTATTTTCCTCAGTGATAAAGCTGTCTTAGTCTTGGGTGAACTTAACACCCTCGCTACGCTCGGGAGTAAACCTGGAGTTCTTCGTTACGCTCGCGATTTAAATCGTCACCCGCGACAGAAGACACTGCTTTATCCCCTTGGTTAATAATCTAGTATTACATAATTTAAATCATATTTTTCCGAAAGATAATATTGTTCCAAAGCACTGACATTTATTGACCCATAACTCATATTGGCAATAACTGATCTGAGTTATTGCCAAATATTTACAACAACATTATTTTATTAGAAAACTTGCGTAGCCAACCCACTTTTGACAAAAATTTGTCATTTCGGAGACCTCACGCCACACAAGCGCCTCTAGCGGTGGATTATATGTGATACATAGATCAAGCTTTTGCTTCATTTTCCTAAATTGGAGGAAGAGTACCGCTGCTCTGTACAGGCTTTCCACCTAGTTCAGGTACATACCGGTATCTCACAATCTTTGCTGTCTTTATCAATTTTAAACTATGTTAGGATGTACCTATAGATTGTGGAATAACAATAAAGATTTATTATTTTGTTTTAAACTTTCATGGTCTCTAACATTATAGTAATATAATTTATTTACGGGATTGTTACCATGTACCTTGCTTTTAATGAGTTCCGATATTTCGGCAATGTTGCAAGCGCCATGATCACGGAGTAACAGTGCCAAAATATCGGAAACTCGCTATAAACAAGGTACAAGGTAACAATCCCGCAAATAACTTATATTACTATAAAGATTTGTTATAGCCCTTATTGTATTTACCTGTACGACTTGAGCGCAGGGCTGCAACACAATTTGCTGGGGTGCAGCGTTCTGTAGGGTAGTATGATGTTCTTGCGTCAACTGTGACAAAAGTAACTCTTATTCATTTCCAATATTACAACAAATGGCAATTGTATAGTCGGTAAAATGTATCGATCGACAGTAGCGTAATTTTAAGAGAAAAAGCCTACTATGGTCAAATTTCGTTTTAATTTTATTAAAAAAACCGAAAATGGCATTTATCTGCCCTACAATGTTGTTGCAGATGTGAAAATTTTGATATCTACAGATGCGGATTTCAGGATACTGGTGTCGACTCTGACATGATTCTCTAAACATAAAACTAAATTTGTTATTAGTCTTTCCTTTTCATTTTGTATAGAGAATGACAAGGATACACTATTTTCAAATATAAGTTAGGTTCGGAGAATCATGCCAGAATCGACACCATTATCAAGATATTTTAATTTTAAGTTCATAAATAAATATGAATCAGTTTTCATTTTAATGTTTATTTAATCATATTAATTTTAAGAATAAAACAGTTTTCATTCTTCTTTAATATTGTTTTAAGCGCGTGCCACTTTGGCCCCACCCACATTCTTCAGATGTCGTTACTTGTTGATATTAATCCACATCCGTAAAAAATCCCCATCATTGTAGCGGATGCGGATGGAGATGTCTGAATTAATGAGAATATTAAGCATTGGCGGATCCGGATGTGAATATCCGTAACACCCTGCTGTGTGTCATTTTAGACACCTCGGAGATGACCTCAAATAGCCGAGTGGTTTGTACGCCGGGTTTCATGATATCGCCCACTCGAGAGGTCCCGGGTTCGAATAGCGGTGGAGGCAGATGTTTGTGTGATGAATACGAGTATTTGTACTCCAGTCATGGATGTTTAATATGTTTTTCTATATTAATATACTTATTTATGTACTGTATATGTATTCTATCCGTTACCCTAGTATCCCATAACACAAGCCTTACAGTGCTTACTTTGGGGCTAGGCTAATTGGTGTGAGTGGCGGAAATATTTATTTATTTTACTAGTAGAGCTGAAATTGCATTAGAAAATTTACCTTTATGCTTTGCTAACCACGTAAATGTGGACTTATGAAACGAATTTCTGTTACTTCTAAGCACAAAATCAGTCAGCCTCCATAATGATATTTTTACCTGTTCAGTAACAGTGGTTGGTCGGTGTATCTCCTCCCGGGGCTTGCTGACTTTACTAGCCTCATGTCGTGGCACAATGTCAATCAGGAAGTCGAACTGATCTGACTTCGATATCGCCATGGCAATGTCATTGCGCTTAAAAAAAGATGCTGTTTTAGTAGATTCTGTTATTGGGTTTATATATAAATATTTTCATTCCACTTTAAAAGAATGAAATTATAAATTCCTGACATAAATTCTTGATGTATAAACTCACAACCGCGCTCAAAAAGTATCGGAAGCAAAATAAGCATTTGTGCGTAATTTTCAAATACCGTGTCGACCGCGTTTTGATTATGCTACATATGACAGTTAAAAACAGTGCAAATGAGACATCTAAACATCGATATTAAATACCCTAGATACACCACGAGTGCTCAAATTGTGTCCCAATCAAGAAGTGCTTGAACTCCACTCAAGCACTTCTCGGTTTACAGTCACGCGCGGACCGTTGAAAAGTAAAGATGCCGCAGAGCTCCGTGAAAAAATGCGAAAAAAATATTAATAGTACGTAAAGTGTCGTTTTTTCGACAGGTATCTAATTAATGTTTGTTAATTAACGCATTTGAAGCAAATTTTGTTCTAATACTTACTATAAACTGATTTAGTATAAACTATGTGATATTCAAATGCACGGCCGGTTATAAGTCGCCATATAGCCGCCTCTTTTCCACGCGGTCCGTTCCTGCTATATTGCTAACAGCGCATTCAGAATTTCCCGTTAAGTCAAAATCATAAGGTCTATATTCTTCCCCATATATAGGAATAAGTCGTAAAATTTTACTAGCTTGCATTTCGAACTGTCGTAAGTCTTTGACGTATGCGTTTCATTTATGACCTTATAGAGTATGCATTAAAGGTGACTTTCAATGTTTAAATAATGCCTAATATTGTTTTTGGACACGCGATCATCTTACATAGCTCCGTGGATCGTCCAATGTACCTTTTGGAGACGTTTCGGCCACGATTTTGTTCGTGTTGTTGTATCTAGGGTATTTAATATCGTTGCATCTAAACTTTAAAAAACATGGAGTGTCGCATTTCAGTTAAGCCTACTTGAAATAGGCTTAACTGAAATGCGACACTCCAAAAGAAAACGCAATTTTCTTGGCAAAAATCCGTTTTCTATCCTATTGCTAATTAATTACATTTTTAAAGCTACAGCAAAATATCTCTCCCGGTGTAAGCGTCACGTGTTCGTATATGCCTCCATCACACATCAATCAAAGTCTGTCTATCGCTCTCGTATACAATTGACATTGAATCTTACTGCCACGACATAACGTGTTTATTAGAACAAATATGTTAATGTTATGTTGTTATTACTTGATGAATATGTATAATGCAGGCCGCTCAGACGATTTTTCATGCACTTTCGTTAGCCAATTGGGAGTTTACTTGATTTTATAAGCCAATTATTCCTAAGCATATTTTTGTACTAAAACCTTCAATCAGCAATTCATAATTAGTACTAGCTGTGCCCGCCGTGTTACCCTCGGCTAAATTAAGGATATTTTCCCACAGTAAAACGTAGCCTATGTGTTAATCCAGGGTGTCAGCTAACTCCATACCAAATTTTATTTAAATTGCTCCTGCCATGCCAAGACACAAACATACACACTTACAAACTTTCGCCTTTATAATAATTGTGTGATTTGCTTTTTAAAGATTATGTGCCTGGTTTTTTACACATTATTCAAGTTCTCATTATCGCAGGACTTTAAGGATCACTATTATTCCACCAATCGGCCAAAACTACTTTAAATTGATGTTTTTTATTACCTGTAGTGTCCTCCTCTTGTTATCTTCAGTATGGGACCAGGCTCGAAGGGTGAGCTCGTGTATAAATATCTCTGCAGCCTTCGCAAACAGTATGGGTACCTCTCCCGATATCATTTTCACCTCTTCATCCAGTTTCATTATTTTCTTAATCCTCGCTAATGGCAGAGCTGGAGTTTTAAAGTCCTCCTGTGGGGTGTATAGGTCTTAAAAAAAATTAAAAACCACAAACTTTTTACTTAAGAAATATTGCCTTCAAAGTAATTGTTTATATAATAATTAAATGGGGCTTATTTGAATGTCATGTATATTCCCTATTTATATGTGTGGAAGACAGATGTCAAGAATTACATATATTTGATAAAATTAATATTTAGTAGGTATATACATTAAATACATACGGAAGAGACTTTTTTGACATCTTCCGTGACCTTGCCCCAGAACTGTTGCAAGGTCTGCTGTCCATTGTCATTGGTGGTGATTTCTTCAGTGACTTCGGCTTCAACCTCTTCAGCCACACCAGTAGCTCCACCATGATCTCTGCGGTAAAGATGGTCTGATATGTTTTTAGTTTTTAATGACATTATTTGTATAGTATTGAAATTGTAATGTAAATAATTTACATGTTCATTTTTTAATAATAGATAGTAATAGGAATTGTATTTTTTTTGTTGGTTTTATTTGATAGGACAACTATACTATTAAATTATGTATATACATACCTGTAATAATAGTATAATGTGTTTTAAATAAATTAATAAAAATATTTTTTTATTTAGTACTTATTATGAAAATAAATTAAGGTACCTATTAAATATTTAAGGCAAGTTTTCAGTAACTTGAAATTAGTCAATAGAACCAAGAAGTTTAGTGAAACTTTTTTATTGGCTGTAGTTACATAGATAGCAACTATGTAGCCATAAATTTTTGAAACCATAAAGGTTTCACTTAATAAATTACAATAAAAAGCAGAATAAGACTAAAAACATTCTAAAATTTTATATGGAGACTACGGTCAAGGATGATATTTATTAACTTCAGCGATAGTGTTGAACTACGTAACGGGAACTTACGTAGGCACAAAGAAGCATACCGACATCTTGAATGATCAGCTAAACCAAGTGGGTTCTTCGAAAATTCACCGATTCCCGAACAAGTAATAACATAAATATTTTGTCGGCAATCAAAATAGATAACCGCGGCTAAACTTCTAAATACCACAGTAACCAATAATCAGTGTATTAAACCGAGAATCTCCAATCACCAATTACTGAGAATGCACCAACTCCACGATTCGTCCGCCGATGACCAGTCACAAGCTTGACGTTCCTACCGGTGTTGCCATAATACCATATTCTTTTGTTAAACACGTTTAGCGTAGCAGCGTAGCAAAATCGAAACAGAATGTTTTTTTAGATAACAAGAACATAAACATATCACATTAACAAAAGATATAAAACTATAACATCTTACTAAAATATACTATATATATATATATAGGAAACTTCTTTGAAAAATCAAGTTAGAAAGTGATACTAATGATATAAAATATTTAATTGCATATGCATTAGACAAACTTGCATTACTCCTTCATTTCTCTTTGCTTGTATCTAGCTGGCACAATTCTCTTAATTTAAAATTAAATTTAACAACAGTGTTGTCGAATCCGATGTGATTCTCTTAAAACTAAAAACATCAATCTCTCCTTTTTATCCTGTATAGAGAATGACAAGAATACAGTGGTATCGATTCTGGCGTGATTCTCTAAACCTAAACTTGATAACAGTGTATCCCTGTCATTTTCGATACAGATTGAAAAGGAAAGACTGATGTTAAATTTAGTTTTAAGCTTAGTGATTCATGTCAGAATGGACACTAGTCAATACTTGTCATGCTCTGCTATACAGAATGAAAATGATACACTGTTGTTGAATTTAATTTTAGATTTAAAGAAACCCTACTAAAATCTAAACTACTGTTATTAAATGTGTGATATAAACAGTCATTACAGAATCGCGTTAATTTTAATAACAAAACAAAACATAACATGAGGCTGTGTAAGTAAGTGGGCTACGTTTCCTTAGCTTTCGCTTTAAGAGATTTACAAAAAAGTCTGTGTTGCCAGAGAAATAAAAGAAAATACAGTTGTTTTTGATGTGTAACATATTTTCTCTCGCTTTCCTGCAATTTGCGGGAGTGATTTCGTGAAATGGGACGGAAGTGTGTAACAGGAAGTTGCGAAAGCGCGCGCTATTTGATTTGAGTTTAGAACATAATGTTCAAATGGCTTATTCCTTTTGTAGTAGGTTTTATTTATTTTTTTACTCATATAAGTTGAGGTTTCTAATATTACACATCATACGCGACTACCTTTCTTTAATAAAACCTAAGTAAGTTTAAATGATTTGGTCAATGGACAAATAAAAAAAACAAAGTCTGTCCTGTCAACCAACAACCGTCTATTTTACTTGACGTTAGCGGTGGGCGTTTAAACGAAAAGCGCTTAAATAAGCGCGCTTAACATATTAAGCTTGTAAGCACGCTTTTAAGTATAAGCGTTATAAGCTTTTCACTTAAAAAGTGTGAGTAAGCTTTTTACTTAAAAAAGTGCAAGTATATTTTTTACTTAAAAAGTGTAAATCCCGCCATCTATGTCTTTGCCAGGAAACTACATACTTCGATCCTTCTAGTCCACTACAGTATCGAAAAATGGGTACGCGGAATTCCTTGGAACTAAATATTTCACAATATCACAGACATAGAACGCGCGACTACAGCGCTGCGTCGGCGTGCCATCTTTCGTGAGCCGGTTAGTACAGCATGCGAATTATTATAATGCGACGTAAAAAAATGCACTTTTTTAAAATTTGGTCGGTACACCAACGCTTTTTTCGTTAAAAGCGTTTAATTAAACGAAGTCGAAAAGCAGTACGCTTGTCACTGTGACGGGGTAAGAGCGCGTGGGTGTTGTACGGTGTGTTTGCATGCTTGCTTGTGTTAATGCGTTTCGTGTTTTGGTTTAATGTGCATATAAAATAGTTAAAAGTATGTATATACATATATATAATATACATACATATAAAAGTTCATTGATTTTATATAAAATCAATGAACTTTTAAGTACGCCTGGATCACGAGTATATTAACTCCAGACAGTCCTAAGCTTGTAAAGTTCGAAGGAAAGTTCATTGACTATTATAAAAATGTTTATTATAAAATCTAAATTCAATTGAAAATCTTTCGTTTTTAATGCCAATCAATTCATTAGGTTTAAAAAAACTTTTTAATAAAAATTTCATTAATAAGAAGAAAAAACGCAATAAAACACTTAAACACATTAAAAACGACAATAAACTTTTCACGCTTTTTTAAACGATATACCTAAACGAAAACACAACACAACGTCGCGCTTTTTACGCATGCTTTTAAACGTTTAAGCCAATAAGCGTTTAAACGAAAAAGCTTTTTTTCAAGCGCGCTTATTTTAAAAAGTACGACGTTTAAACGCTTTTAAGAAATAAGCCGTTTTTTCCATCTCTAGCAAGTGGCTGAACGCACAAACCGTGCTTGCCACAAAAAAGAAAAAAATACAAGCGTCTGCTAAAATGGCGGCCGCGGAGATCCAAATAGTAAATCCTTCCAATTTACAGAAAATTGAAAGGTAAACAGCTTGAATTCTATCTCAAGACGTTTTGGTGTACTAAAATATCTGAATATAATCAAAGGTGACACTTATCCACATTTATTTTCACTTAAAAAATTATATTATTTTTGTCTACGTTTTAGCTTCCTCAATGATCCTAGTTACAAAGAAATTATTGAAAATTCATCAACATTCAATTCAAGACTATGTGCGGAAAGGAGGATGCGAATGCCCTTCATCGACACCCAAACTGGTAAGTGGTTATCGATTTGATGTTTATTGATTTGTCCTTGCGCAGTTCTACTTTGTTTGATGAAGTGTGAAATATTTTGAAATTGGGCCTTAGCACCAAGAGGTTACCCTTACAGACGCCTAGCTTAATACAAATCTGAATAATCAGTACTGCGCTAGTTGGAATGCTGTTGATTATGAAATGAATATATCACTGTCCCTTCATTAATGTATTTCTAGCCGCGAACGCCATCCTCTCAACTTATGAAAAATGTATAGAACAAGATTTAGGTGTTCCTTAGGCATCTTGGATGATTTAAGTACACATCTGAGATCATTTTAACATAGTAAGGCTAAAAGCTGTTCTGTATATAGAAGTTCTGGTTGATTATACAGACATGCATGAACTCTAAAAACATTACACTCCCTTTTTTGATAGTTGTGTTAAAAATTTAAACTGTATTGGTTGGGCCTGGGAGTTCAATTGCTGTATGGTTATCACAAATATAATTACCTATGTTGCTAACAGACCTTTTTCTTAAAAGAAAAAGTGTTCATAAGCCCAGTAAGTACAGTTGTCAGGTAAAACTGGTTACATAGTTGTGCCAGAACTATGAAATAAATAAAACTGAAAACTCAAAAATCACATCAAAACATGTTATATAAGCTTCATTCAGTTACATATATTGTTATTCCTGTAGTTAGTTATTTGGTGGTGTCACTAAGCGCCACCACCACGCGCGCTGGCCTACATTGTCACAGTCTAACTGTGGCTACAATTCCAACGCGTACAAAGAAATTGGCGACTAATTTTTGTCTCACACTATCCGTAAATGGAATGCTTTGCCTGCTCACATGTTCCCTCCCTCTTACAACCTGGGATCCTTTAAAAGAGGTGTGAAAAACCAACATACAGGCCGGCAGGGTGAGGATGGCTGGTGTGGCAGGTAGAACTGCTGTATCAGCTATCTTCGCGTCTGGACTTCACCTTCGCTTAACATCATGTGATGTGGAGTCAATTGTCACACCTATCTTAAAAAAATACTATTTTTTAAACAGTGACACAAGGCCTCCCCCAGCCTCTACAGGATGTCTAGTTGATGTTTGAATCTTTGAAGAAATGCTGACTTTAATCACACTCAGATCTGTTTAGGGATATTCTTCTCTAGTAAAGAAATACAGTCAAAACCAGATAAAACAACACTGAAGGTACCTTATAACTTTGGACGTTATGTCCGATAATTGTTATAAGCAATATACACTAGTAGCCATATTATTATCATAATTTTTGTATGTAGTATGGTCATAGATAATGAATATAAGGTTCTTTTCAATAAAATATCGAAAATAAAAGTAATAAGTTTACTATGAAAAAAATTAAGTACCTACAGTATAACCGTCATGTTATAAGATGTTGTTGTATTCAATTTTGATGGTATACATAATTCTTACCAAAACATGGGGATTTACATAATTCCCAAACTTGATTATTAACTAAAAGTGGCATTACACTATGGGGCTTGAAGGGTAACATTATTTTGTGGCAAGGATGTTGTAACAAATACACTATACGAAAAAGCTTGTTGTTTAGGGGTTGCACAAAGTCACTGCAATCTATTCATGACAAGAAGACAACGGATGCCCGGCGCGAAGGAGGGACAAGTTTATACATATCCAGCACAAAGGTAAGAAAATATGTATCCTTCCTTATTATAAAATAAAGTCCCCTCTTAGATTAAATCAATAAGGGTAGGTACAGCACTATTGTCTCAAAAGTGCACCACTGAAATTAGGTGCATGCACAGAATTTACTTTAGACACAATTTGATATCCAAATATTGTGCATGTACACTCAATATAATTGCGGATTTTCTGTGTTGAAATGATAAAACAATGCCTTTGATGCTATTATAAACAGCACATATAGATCAAGGATAAATTACATGGCATCAGTTTTTATTCATAAAACCATAAAAATTATCTTTTCTCAAATGTCACAGTTTGTCATGAACAGTTTTCGTTTTATTCGCCATTTGTTATCAAGAAAAGGACAACAATACAGCTTAGCTATTTGTAGAAAGAGAAAAGAAAATGCAGCAAATGCCTTGTGTTGAAGTGTATCATTCTGTTTCCCTCGGTCTCTTGAACATTTATTTATCGGTGTGCATGTATGCAAGCTGCTTATGTATTTGAGTCTGAAAATTTATTATTTGACACAACTAAGAGCGTGGTGTACCTTTCATTTTTAATTTAATCTAAGAGTCTCCCACTTTGATCGATATGGTTCTATATGATCTCAAAAATGTTGAGTAGATATTATTATTTATTGATATTCATGTGGTTCTCTATTAGTTCTTGAAGGATTAAATTTTGACCAACGAGTAATATTAATCTGGTTATCTGTTTTATTTAATCTATGTTTGGTAATAGCAATTTGCTCAAATTAATCTATGTATCACGTGACCATAAATCCGTCGCCTCTGTGATGCAAATACCGAAAGCAGCTACTGTCGTGCACTTGAGCGCGCCGTTCGGTAAACGCTGATAAAAAGCGCGCTGCCTAACGGCGTGTCTAGGGGTGTGACTATAATACCAGCCTTAAGAATGTTGAAGTGTGCAAGTGGTATATTGTGATCAACAGATGGCGTAAAGCTCGGCGGCAATATCTGACTATGTCGTCTACTCGGTGGGGTTGGAGCGGTGCAATAGACACAGCTGATAATACTGGAGAAGGGGAGAACAGTTCTGGAGTGCCCGGTGAGGCTTTAGCGGGAGAAGATAGTAGAGACGGTTCACAGACTGCGACTAAAGATGACCCAAAGGTGAGTTATATTATTACAGGATGTTAAATTGAAAGTAAGCCCGATTCTGGCTTGATTCTCTGAAGTAAAAAGCTAATGCTTTGTGCTCACAAGTGAAACTTGTGATTCGCTCCCTTGCTTATCCTCCCACATTGAGGACAATTCCGCGTGTCATTATTTTTAGTTTCTTAATACGAAAACGTGTCTTTCTGTGTAGTATTGCCAGATGAGGATAAAAAACGCGGGTCGGTACGAAAACGTGGATTTTCTAACAAAATAGTGGTACTTACGATTTGCACCAATGGGAACTTGCCATTCCAAAAAAAAATTGGTGCGAGCGAATTGCGTCCCGCGCGTGATTCGTCTCAGTTTACACGAAACTTAAATTTGACAGTAGTCTTTATTTTTCATTCTCTGTAGAGCATGATAAGGAGTCATGCTAGAATTTGAACTTTGTAGCAATTTAATTGATTTTGTAAGCGTTCAGTAAGGTTTATTTAGATAAACCATATAAAAATATTTTACATATTCAAAATGATTCTTAAAATTTAACACACAGGCAAACGCTCTAACACTACAGCGTTATCGTATTGATTTACCTTGTACAACAAAACTGGAATACATTGTCACCAGCAGTATTTTTGGATTATTACTCTCCGAAAACCTTCAATAAAAAAGAGTACTCCTTCCTTAAAGGGGCCGGGGCATTGCATTTGTGATACAGCTGGAGGCCCACTGCCTATCGAGATTGCTGTGGCTTAAGCCAGCTTATGATTTCATTTTGTTATTTTTGACCAGTAAAGGTTTTTAATACCTTACTAGAGGTTTGCACTGGTGCAGCTAGTACCAAAGAACCACAGGTGATTTACCGGTAAAAGTAATTGATTAAAACCACCATAGACTAATTGGTTAATCTCGGGTAGTCGTTTAAGTGCCTACTTGAAATAAATTCAAATAAAATTTATTAAAAAAAAAATGCTACGTACCTAATGTGTAATAAATATTAAGCAAATATTATTTTTAATAAATAAAAAGTGTGTTTGATAATACAATATTTAAAATTCCAAATAATTTGAGTTAAATGTGCTCTTGTTGCTTTGTCAAGTTTTTTTTTTATATCAAACAAAAGCTAGAAATCTGATTAAATATAGATATAAGAGTGTAATAACTTCATTAATTAGTAGATGAAATATCAATTCGAATAAAATTGTGGGAAAATCATATAAAAGTAATATTTACAATTATTTTTATCACATCATTTATCATTTCTGTCTAGACAAGATCCTTTTTGATAAAACGATACAAAAACGATCAATTTGTCATTCGTTGGTGCTCCAAATCTCAATCTCACTTGCATATGAGATTTTCATTGCAAATATATTTTAATTTTAATACTTTTAATTTTGTTCGTAAAAGTTAACACCTTTTTTATTATTCCGCCACGAATTCATATAGTATTTTATACTAACAGAGGCAAGGAAGTAATTTCACACACTGTACTTGTCAAATATACATGTACTTATCAAATACTAAAAGAAAAGTTCACTTTGTATATGCAGAATTTAGTGTTTAGTACAATAATGGCAGCTCCATAGGTTAATGTCTTGTTCTATATATTTGCTGCTGTATGAGCAATAATTATGAAGTTTTGCTTAGTCTGGGCACTATTTTATTACTTTTTGCTAATTTATATATTTAATTGCTTGACAATAAGCCGTTTTCAAGTATGGGCTGGGGTATCCTAGCATGATGGTCAAGCCAGTGTACACCATGAAAACGGTCAATATTTCCTAAATTAAAGAGGAAGATTTTTTCATTTTTGCACTTATTCGGCACTATTTAATAGCCGTAGTCACAACCTCGAGTTTGATGTGGTTACCGCTAGCATGTCGGACATCATCAGTTATTGAGGAATCTCCGGTGATCACTGTAGATTGCACAATAACCGGTGATTTCAATCGGTTCACAAAATTCCGCTCTGGTGCAATTCTCTATACCTCACGCTAATTTTCTTTAATATTGTTATTACCAAGGCAAAATAAAAAAAGCGCGGGGCAAAACCTTCGTCGGTCAGAATCAAAAAAATGAAATCATAAGTTATTGCTATAGCAATCCCGATAGGAGGTAGGCCTCCTGGTGTTGCAGGTGTCTATTGGCGACTGTGATCACTTACCATCTCACCAGATGGTGAGTGATCAGCTTCTCGGCTCACCAGCTGTCAGCTCTTATGCCCCCTAAAATATAAAAAAATGGTACAGAAACCAGCCTTGAATCCTACAGTATTTCCAGGAGTGGTTCTACGACGAACTCGCGATGGAAGAGATGGAGACCGGCGAGGAGCCCGACCCGGAGTCAGACGAAGATTACTTCCACGATACGTACGCTAATAGGCGCCGGCGACGTGGTGGGGCCGCCCCTACTGGCCCTGGGTCCAGAGGAGGACGGACCAGGAAGTCCCAGCCTGATGATACGCCCGCGAAACGGGGACGAGCGGTGAGTTCAGAATATAAAATAATAATAAATATTTCCAATACGCACACCAATTAGCCTAGCCCCAAAGTAAGCACTGTAAGGCTTGTGTTACAGGATACTACGGTAACAGATAGAATACATATACTGTACATATGTAAGTATATTTATATAGAAATACATATTAAACATATACATATACGAGCATTTGTACTCCATGACTGGAGTACAAATGCTCGTATTCATCACACAAATATCTGCTCCCACCGGGATTCGAGCCCGGCACTTGTCGAGTCGGCGGCACCATGAAACCCAGCGTACAAACCACTCGGCCACGGAGGTCGTCATATAGATAGTATCATTATCAAATATACATATGTTGTTACTTCTATGTTTCATGTTAGGGGTTTAAGTTTCCGAAATTATGCCGCAATTATATTTGGTGAATTCGGACACTCGAAGCAAAGGGAGCTAAAGGAAATTACTCTAATACCGGCGTACTCGTTTCAGCTCGTTTACACTTAGCCCAATGTAATCGCGTCATAAGTTCTTAAAGTGGACCCATTGTGCGTGAGCCATGGCGGCCGGTTATTCCCCTCCGGAGCAGATTAGTCTTCTCAGGACATCTGCAAGGGATCTCGGCTTACCAAGAGTCTCCGTGCGGATCTGGGTAGGTTGTTAATACGGTAATAGGCGCTGGCGACGAGGTGTGGCTTCCCCAACTGGGCCCGGCTCGAGAAGGGGACGGACCAAGAAGTCCCAGCCTGATATGCCAGCGAAACGGCGACGAGCGGTGAGTTCGTTTAAGTTAAGCAACATTTGCAGAAGTCGATCATTGGATGGGTGACCAAAAATTTACGAGCTCCTCCGTGCTGCGAAAGGCACGCTTAGCCGCCCCAGCTGCATCTGCAGTCGTTAGCACCCACCAATCTGCATTGGGCCCGCGTGGGGGGTCATGGCCCAATCTTCCTATTCCATGCATAGGGAAAGCCTGTACTGCAGCATTGGGAACATTAATAGGCTGATGATGAAGAGAGGTAGGGCATAGCGGATTTGCCGCTTGAACCGGAGCGCCCGTCTGGAGAAGTAACATCGACCTTACAGAAGACACAGTAAAATAACACTACCTTTTAGTAGTGTTGTGTTTCTGTCAATAGGTAAGGCTCCAGGGCTCCACGGGGAAGGGGATTGGGTCAGGATAGACAACAGAGCGAGTGATGTTTATTGGTATAAAAATTTTATGCAGCTGTAATCGCAAAAAATGTTATAGCTGTTATCGGGATTGTTTTTATACCTTGTTTTTTATGAGTCTAATATTTCGGCACTGTTGCAAGCGCCATGATCACGGAATAACTCAAATATCGGAAATATCGGAGACTCATAAAAAACAAGGTACATGGTAACAATCCCGTTAATAGCTATAATGTTAATGACCATGAAAGTTTAAAACAATTTATCGCAAAAATGTAATTGAATTGACGAGACTATTTAAAACAATCTTCTATTACAGGGTCGTGGTAGAAAGCGGGCGTCTGCTCAAGGCGCTCTCCCTTACGAAGAGACCGGTGACTCGGAGAAACCCTTTGGCTGCGAACGTAAGTCTACGAGAAGGAGGCACTAACCTCTAACATCTTTACTCGACTCCTGTCAGACTCGAAGATAACATGTGATTACTAGAATCAGCCCAAAAATAGCTGGCTTCATCCGAGTGTTATAAACATACGAGTGTTATAAAAACTTAAAATTTATTTTTGTCATTAAAAATAAAAAGCATTTAATTGGATTTTTTCTGAATAAGTATACTGAAAGACAATCAAAATAAAATCGAAAATGTGGTGTTTAGCGGTTAATAGTGCTTAAGCAAGGCTATTTTTGGTCTGTGTTCTATAATCAGTATAATCAGTAATAAGGTCTTATAGGAGCAGGGGTAGGTCTAAATTTACATCTCGAAACATAGCCATGTCAGCAGAGACATATGACAGGCACGTGTCAAAAGTTGGTTAAGTTGGTATCAAACGTATTCTAATATCACAAATGTTTTATTGAAAAATCAATGCTGTAATCATAAATGACATTGTTATTACTATGAACTAATATTGTATTGGAATAAATCGGCTAGGAGTTCAAAGGACAATGGGCAAAACGCACCCAGCTCCGCCAACAATGTAATTAGTATGAATCGATAGATCTATGAAAAACTAGCCTTTTTTATTATGACACCAAAAATAAATATCCTGGTAATCAATAGATATTACACATGGGCATATTTAAGTAGCTGAATAAATTCATTTTATAGTACCTTCATTTTATATTATTAATAATCATAATAATATGATATATCGTACTATACAACCAGATATACGACAAAGCCTGCCGACCATCCTGCACTTGCTCTTACTGAGACATTTCAAAACGGTTTACGGATGATGAAGGACTTGCAGTTGCAAATAGTCGACTCGTCTTACTTCGTTGTGATTGTGCGCTCCCTGCTACTTGATTGTTTTTTATCTAACACGCTTTGGATATTGGAACACGATTATCGGTTTTGTCAATTAGTATGGATGAACTGGAATCATGTGTTCTCCGAAGCGTGGATAAGTTTGAGTAATCTGTGGTCGCTCCGTTTTACATAGAAAACAATTTACTATAACGAACAGAAGGTTTAAAAAAAACCCAACCCATGCGGAGATGTTTTGATTTACTCTAGCGCGGCAGAACAACATAAGAGGGCACCCTTGCACCTTGTGAAGTACTCCCATAATTCCTGAGCACCCTATGTAGAGTCGAACTAACAAACTAAATTAATTCCATTGTTTCATTAATGTTCGTTCGTTATAGTACTTGTACACATTTAACTTAAAATAACTAAAGACCCCCGGGATGGAATTTGATGCGTTTTGGCACAGATGATCTTGACTATAATACCTTTCAAACAAATGTAGTTTAAGCTGTGGCGGACGTGGGTGCAGCGTCCATACATTTTTGCCCAATGTCCTTTGCATGATTAAATTAAACCACAATAAAATAAAACTTAATAATCAAATCGTGTTTAAACCCTTGCCCTCATATTAATAAACAAGGAATAAGCTTCGACTAGTTACGGCGTGTTTTGTTAATGTCACCCAAATGCTATTTGCCATTGAATGAACAGAGACAAAAACATGGGAGTAACTAATCCAAACTTATTCTTCGTTTATTAATAAGAGGGTAAGTGCTGCGTGGGTAATTTTAAATACTAGTGCACTCAAGCATTTACTAACTCGTATTGATATTGAGTAAATCTACCGTCGTATTTATAAACAAGTAAAAGTAATGACCTCTGCTAAAGTAATTACTTTAGCAACATTTTTCATTTCATACTTAATAAATTGATCAAATAAGAACTGTCAAAAATAAGAATTACTTATAAAGTAACAGTTACCATTTTCGTTGCTAAGTAACCATTTGTTATGTTAAAGTCTAGTGTTAAGTAATAACGTTGTTACTTAACAACAAGGTGATTATTAAACAAACAAGTAATTACTTGTTTATAAATACGAGTATTAGACAGTGGATTAGTCTCATACTATAATAATGTCATTCAATTTCAACTTTAACCTACTTATGAAAACAAAATTACGTTCTATAGAAAAGTTAAATCAAAGTTGTGACAACAAACTTTTATTATAAATACACTCCTTTTTAATCATTTAAATTTATCGTGACAAACTAATCTGTAGTTTAACTAGTATCCACGTACGGACCAAATTCCATAGGCTATCTCATTCATAAACATTGTAAAAGTGGATTGAATTTAAAGTAATAATAATAATGTTAGTCGGTTCTGTTTGTGCTGAGTTTTAATTATAATGGATACTGTTTTGTACTTGAAATATGGCTCTTAGTGATTTGTAGTAAAGGCGCTGACGCTGACGTTGTGAAATTCGATCAGCCGCCTTGTAACTAGTAACTTTAAAAAATTTGCTTATGAACACACATGTATTTAGAAGTTCTGTTCTGAAATAGTTTATGAATGAGGTACCAGCTTATATACACTATTATTTTCAATTTTGAACACGAAGTAATAATTGGTAAACTTAGATATCTAAGTAATATGGACATTACCTCTGCAGTTGTATAATAAACATGAATTTGCTCAATAGTTACTAAATATAACCGAGACGGACCTGAGCTTTTCAGATAATACGGAGATATTTTGCGCTATTCGACAATGAGGGCTTTAAAATTATGCTATCAGATTGGATAACATTTACATATAATCATTTCATTTTAATCCCTATAAAAATCTTATTATCAATCATTCATGACATGTTTTTAAACGGTCATCGTATTTAAATTGAATAAGAACATGTTTAGTGTTAGTGAGAAACTTAAAAGAGCATTTTGCACTTAAATTGAAATATTCATACATTTTAATGAGGGCTATCGCGTATCAATCCGCCGCTAGAGTCCGCCGCTTGAGGCGCTTGTGTAGCGTGAGGTCTCCGAAATGTCAAATATAATTGCTTGTAGGTTGACTACGCGAGTTTATTTTGAATTAATTTAATGTTGTGAATATTTGGCAATAAATTTATTAATTATAACGAGAAAATATGAGTTACGGGTCAATGAATAGTCGAGAAAAATTATTGTCCTCTCTTTTTTCCGAACAAAAAGGAACTGCGTAACACTGCGGCATGGCCGGTTATGTTTACGCTAAGGTATTATTGTATTAAAATATGATTTTAATGTAAATTTTGTTTTTACGCGCGTATTAACACACTTTGAAAGCCACACTTCAGGACCTCACTCAACAGTGGCACCATCTGGTGCGACAAAAAACGGCAGCCCTCATTGCATTATTTCATATGTACCATACTTAGATTAAAACTTATTCTCATACATAAAGCATTAGGATGAAGGCATATATCATGATAGTTAACTTCGTAAAAGTAGGAGCCTGTAAGTGTTTTGGAAGTAGCATAGATGCAGTCCGTATTGGACATTTCTAAGTATTGTAACTTTAATGAAAGAAATGGAGTCAGTGTCACTAATTAAGTTACAAATATGTACTCTTCAATATTTTTTGTAAACAAAGGAAATCGAACGAAATACCCATAGTCGGATTTAGAGGCGTGGAGGCCCTGGGAATTTTCTATTGTGGGGGCCTTAAATCTGGCTCTAGAAATGCATTTAAATGGCGTCGTGAAGTCTATGTATTGTAGGATCTTTATTGATGCCCCCATCTAAGTGTAATTTATTACGAGAAAATCAACCACAGAAATATAATAAGTTTCTTTTACACAATGTATTAATCAAATGATATAAAAGTATTGCTTATTTTTGAATTTTTCTACAGTGTTGGTAATGTTTATGTGACTAATTGTTAGTGACGAGTGAGATATTAAGCTTAAGACTAGGAAATTTGTAGCAGCATCGGACGAATATTTGTCTCAGTCGAATAGTGCAAGATCTCCCTCTCGAAATATCATAAGCAGCGCATAGTTGTAACCACAGGGCCAATGAGTACTGTACTGTAATAATATTAGTTGTTCATTGTAAGGGAAAGTCTTTGAGCAATAAGATTCGTCTTCGTTTGATACTTTGTTGTTGTGTGCCGTTTCTTATTAGATTTATTACCAATTTTATTTAACTGCGACTCAAAGGGCAAATGCCACAACAGCGAATAGCGGAATTATCTGATGCGCTGTCAGCCGTTGCAATGAATTTTGTTGCCTTGTGTCATCGCATCGTATTGCGATGCGACGTTGCAATGAATTTTGTTGCCTTGTGTCATCGTATCGTATTGCGATACGACGTTGCAATGAATTTTGTTGCCTTGTGTCATCGCATCGTATTGCGATGCGACTTTGCAATGAATTTTGTTGCCTTGTGTCATCGCATCGTATTGCGATGCGATGTGGCCTCGCTCAAAGAGAACGGCATTTGCAGTGTAGTGTTATCATGTCCAGATTAGAACTTTGTTTCTTACCAAAGGTTTTTCTGTAGCTGCGTGCATATGACTTTGATCACATATACCCCCTTAGTAATAAACAAGGAATAAGCTTTTACTAGTTACGCCGCGTTTTGTTCATATCAATCTAATGACATTTCTCATTCAATGAACAGAGAAAAAACATAGAGTAACACATCCAAGCTTATTCTGAGTTTAACAATAAGGCGGATAGAGTTTAGGGGTTCTTTAAAATTTTTCGGCGTTTTTAAATAAAATTGTAAATTTTAATGTTATTTATATTCAAATTAGAAACATAATAAAATTTTCTCGAGTAGTCCAAAATTCGCGAATATTTAGAAGACTGCTAATTATATTTCATTTCGTTTATATAAAATTATGTAATGGCGTCGTAGCTCTTATATTCGCTGCGCTTAGAAGAATCCTTGTATTGTATATTTCTTCCGCTTATTGCCTGATGCCATCACGTCACATGGCTATTTGTCACTTTGACAGCAGGTGGTCCTTATCACGCTCTTTAGAAAAGAAGGAGAGACTATTGACAAGATTACAAATAGCAAATGCGAATAACTACGTGAAGTGCTTTAATGACAAATAGCACACAACAACAACGGCATAGTGTCAGCGTGTAGAATTACAAGAAATGCCTTCTATTGTTGTGTATGTATGTACGTACATGTGTATAATATTAGTGGAATAAGTGAATCTCCCGGTATTTGCCGATTGATTATGACCTTTATTATTAGATAATTTTTAGGGCAATTTTAGGCTTTACACACCATGGTGACTTCATACGTGACCTGTGTAATATCATCACAATTTCCTTATAATTTAATGATGAGTAATGGCGGCACTACTTGGCTATTCGTATTACCTAATTGTCATTCTGACAGCAGTTTGTCCTTGTCTCATGCTTTATAGGGAATGAAAAGGAGAGACTGTTGTCAAGTTTTCAAATAGCAAATAGGAATTGCTAAGTAAAGTGCTGGCATAAAAAGGCAAACATCACAATATCGTATAGTGCATAATTTGAATGTCACCTACAAAATTCATTATTATTAGATACGAAAAATAATATCGTGCATTTATTTCATTATTATCTAAGGCCAAGTGTTTATTAGTTATAGAATTCTTCACTCGCTATCCTTTTATTTAAGGCTCGGGTGCATTGGTTGAGGCTAAATATATAAATAATTGGCATGTCTCAAAATATTTTATACGAAAATTGTTACATGGAAAAATGGTAATAGTTGCTTCGGCCAATGTGCGTGAACTTTACGTCAATTAAGAGATAAAAGCCGATAGTTCAAAAGCAAATAACTAAATAACTGTAATCCGAGACACCAATCGAAATTACACTGCCACGATGATATATTTTTAATAATTCGTTGGAAACGGGCGTAGAAATTCTGTTATTTTTAATGTAAGTTAGCTTAGCGTTCATTATTTAATTTGGTACAGAACCGTTAACTGCTCATTGATAACGAAATACCGATACTTTTATTTCAAATGGCTCTGAAAAAAAAAGAAATGTTGCGATTTCAGTACAAAAGACTATTCCGATTAATTTCGTGGTAGTTTTTGGTACATTTCCTGATATTTATTTCCAATCAAACCTTGTCCACAAAATAACAAACGAGCTTTATATAATAGCCTTCGAAGTGCAAAACTAACTAAACATACCAAATAATAAATATAAAAATTCCGACGAAAAATACTTAACCTAACCTACCTAATAACGCAAATAAAAACTTATTTTAACTTTATACTATGGTTCTGTACCGAATGATAATTATTATAATAATTATTGGGCTACCATTAACTTCGCAAAAGTATTTTATCACAATAAGTTTAGAAATGCCACTATTTCTTTCAATTCTTACGATTGCATATTTTATTATTTTTATTTTATATAACCGTAGCATTAATTTTAATTAGTTTTACTGCATATTAACACCACTTTTTTTATCTTGAGTTATCATCAAAGTAAATGGTAGCCCTCAACATGTTTACTGTAAAGTGGATCTTATGAATTAATCACAATTTATTCATCATTATATTTGTAGCACCATTTCTTTTGGATGTGTATGACTCATGTGTCTGTGATAGATTATTTATTTTCATCTCATAATAATCATTGGATTAGCGAATTTTCTTAGCCGCAATGACTAAAGTTTTGCTGTAATCATAGTATGATTTTATATTTTACACATGGCTTTCGTTAAATTTGGGATCTCAATTCCCACATCTCTGATGACCAATATCTACTTACTTACTCTTGCATCACCCATTGTGTCATTATTTTAGTCGCTCTTTAGTTCGCGAATCTCAGAATTTTCAAAAATAAATACCTTTTGAAATTAGATTTCAATACTCAAGATAATATGTTTTTACATCACATCAATTTTACAATAGTTTTTGATTTAATATTTATGGATTAAGAAAGAAAGTCAGCCTTTATACATTGCGCTGTGGCGGCGTGGTGGCGTAGTGTGTGTGTAAGTCACATTTAAAGTGATGGCACAAATGTCAACACCGTAAACGCCGCACGTGTAGCTCTTACAAATCGTTGTATGCAATTATATAAAACCTTGCATACTTCCACTATACGCCGCGCATTTCGTAAAGTCTGTATGGAAATGTGGCGCTATCGGCGCGTGCGGTGCGTACGTCTTATCGTCCAGAGGCTTAACTTTCCAAATCAATAATATCGATGTTTCGTGAACTTTGTTGTAACGTATCCTACTCTACGGCGTATACACAATGTAAGTAAGTCAGAGATGGACGACGATAGTGATCGATATGTCGACGCAATTTTAAGATTACAGGTGCAGGTCTGGTTGCCCATGACGTGGTCTGCCACAAATTGTTTTCGGACCTTATGCCATAAACAATAAGTTTGAAAACGCGGTGTCACCCAGCTCACAGGGCCTTTGCCGCCTAGCTGTTATATGTGTTAAGTCTCTTACGAAGTATATTGGGTCATAATTTTACACAATTTAAACCGAAATTGGTGTGAATGTGAAATTTTAGTCATTGCACTATTTCTAACGTGTTCGGTTTTAACAAAATCATTTATTTATTGTATTGGATCAGTGTATGTGAGTTCTTGATGTTATTCTTAGATCCAAACTATTATTAGCACCCAAAGATTGTTATGAATTTATACAAGATATTTATGTTGAATAAGAAATAAAAATCATACAAGGTAAAAAAGTCTTTTCAATCATTGATTGGACTCAAAAGTTTGGATCTCTCTGATACACTGAGGGTTTTGTATTTTTATTAGGTCTGCATCTTGATATTGACGTTTTCTATTACACATTTTTGTCAAAATAGTATGTACACATTTTTATCAATATAAAATTTTAATACACAAGGAGAAAAAGCGGAATGTTTAAGTAAGGCTCGCGCATACTACAGCCGCGACGGGCCGTAAAGCACCGCATTGCAAGATTGCGCCAAAGCGTATTGGAGTCGTATCGGGCCGTGCCGCAACGCAATAATAGGGATGACGACTAACATTTTTTTTGTCTATCAAGAAGAGCATGAAAAACTATTGGATACGTATTTTTCCTTTATTCACATAATCAACATTACAGAGATATATTGATTTAAAATATCGCATGACGTCATGTTTTGGTGCAATTTTCACCTAAATTGACGTCACGAGCAGCCACTCGCAAACTTTGACGCGCTTTATCTTTGTAATTTTTTGATTGATTGACCAAAGAAAAAATACGTGTCTATTATTTTTTGATAATCTTACTGACGAACTATTTAGAATTTTGTCTACTTTACCCCTTCGTTAATCCGAATGAATTAGTTAGCCGTTGGCAGTTGGATATAGATAGTTCGTTGTGGTATATCGGGCGAGCGCGACTGCTCCTTCCAACGTACACAGAGGCGCAGCAAGCGATCCGCCAGTGCGTTGCGATGCGGCCTGGTACGGCCCCCGCCTGTAGTATGCTTAAGTTCATATAAAATTTACGAAAGTGATGTAGGATGATTTTTGTTATGCGTTGCGGTGCGGCCCGCCATAATGTACGCGAGCCTTTAATATCGTATAACATGTACCGAAACAATATCATCTATGTTCTAAAACGTCATGTTATTAAAAACGAAAAGATTAAAATTCTCAGTGTACATTGCTTAGCTAATCATTTCGAATTTATTATTGATTGTAAATTATGTGTAAATTGTGTATAGTGAGTAGCAGATCCAATGATTTGAAGTCATCAATCAAAGCATCCAAGGAGCCTGCGTCCACCAGAACAAATCATAGATGTATCACGACGGGCCGGGTATTGAGTATTCGAACTAAACACATGACAGGAAGCAAATATCATTTGAGTACACAATCGATTGAATGGCGATTTCATGTATAAATATAGAAAACCATTAGGACCTAAATTACTGTTATTTTGGATTCAAATAAAAATTAAGTCGTCAATACAAATCGATTGTTTACTACCATTCAAATGATTAAAGTACAAGAGAAGTTATTGATTGATGACGGATAATTATCGGAAAGACTGCGTCACATCATTTGCCGTCGTGGTGCCTCCTATGCTCTGTTCTGATGACGTAGGCTCTACAAACCCCTTACTTAATTTATTCTTGAATAACAAAGTCATTTGTGACGTAAGAGTGAAATTACAATAGCAGATGGAGGCATTACGAGCGGTAAGTAATATTTTTACAAATTTATTTTAGTTGTAAACACATTTTATTGTAAGACTTGAATTTTTTACTCATCCGGCTCGGCGGACCATATTGACATACTTTTAAGAGTTACATGGAATTAGCTGCATTGGTATTAAACAAATAATATAGGGAAAATAAAAGTTCTTGGGAAATTCTGAGGAAATTGTAAATTTAATCGTGATTAAGCTCCTGATTTCTAGTTCACAAAGAGTCCGTTATTTGTAGCTCGAATTTGCATATAATGCAGCGTCCGCTGATTTCATACGGCTAATATTTTTATTTTACTTTACGACCCGTTAACTTTTCGTTCTATTAAAATTATTGGTAGTTTACATTGCATTCGAATCATTATGATATATAAAGGACCATGCCTTGGTTCTCATTTCTTTGTTGTACTATTCTCAAGTGGAATTTATTGCACGAGCACACTTCCGACAATCTGGGGACCTTTAAGAAAGGCTTGAAGAAGCATTTTTGCAGGCCGGCAAGGTGAGGATGGTTGGTGTGGCAGTTAACATTTGCTGTACCAGCTATCTTCGCGTCTGGACTTTAACACCACCTAACATCAGGTGGAGTAGAGTCATTCGCCTACCTAGCTATAAAAAAAAAATGCCGCGTGCTTGCGTGTTAGTAGCAAAATAATTATAAAGGGTAAATGTCATCACCAGTGTGCGGAGCGAAATACAAGACCCGTGCTGGCCTGACTTACCACTTCACGCATACGCACAAGGAGCCTGCGGGGGGCGCCGGGGCGACGGGGCCCCCCGCTGCCGGCAGCGACGGGGACTCGCGCGACAGCCGCGCGGGCGCGCACACGCCCCCGGCCCCCGCGCCCCAGGGCTCCGCCCCTGCCGCGACCGGCCCCGCAGCCCCCGCCACAGAATATCAGGATAGCTACGTCACGTTTCTCAATAACCCAGCCGTAGGAGCCGGTGAGTACTGTTGTAACTGGGGGAGTTTATCGCGCTATTTCCATTCTGTTTGGCCGTCGCATACTAATTCCATTATGTATGATTTGAGTTGATTTTGTTTTGTGTGTCTATTTAACTACACAGAAGTTAAAATATTAAGATTAGACTTGAACTCCGTAAAGAGGAAGTGAAGATTTCTATTGTGGTTCTTGCTATTTCAACGAAGCTGGAACAGTATCAAAACAATATATTACGTTCAAATTTTTATTTGCTTTTCCCGAGTTCGTCTTCGATAACCATTTATTTGAGTTGCAATTCAATAAGATAAGCTTGAGTCAATGCCGACCTTCTGTGTTTTATCTGGATTCAAAATAAAGAGCAACCTTAATTTGTTTTTGAAATGAGTTCGTTGATTCATGATCATAACGCATAGTATTTTTAAACGATGTTTTATCCTTTTTCATGCTTTTGAATGCTATCATTGTCATTTGTGTTGCCAATTTACTAGTTCTACATTCTCTATGTTATGTGACTGTAGTTTTGACTTTTCTTTTCATCGTAGACACCAAATCATTTGCATCGTTAAACAACTAAGATAAGAATTTCTTCAAAACGGTTTAATAAGTTACTGCAACAAAACTTGTTTGAAAAAAAACGTCAAGACTGGTGTTGCCATGTATGATAATAGTGTTTGTAAATGATGCTTTTAAATATTTTGGGGAATTTAATGTAAGGTTTCTTATATTAAGGCTGATTGTTCTATCGCTTGACTTTTGCGTATCTGCACGCATCATAGCTGCTCATTATAGTTTTTATAGCATCATACGCAAATGCATCTGTCATTATTAAATTAATTTCGACAGACTTGTGTCGATAAGCTAAAGGGGCTACGGGATAAGTGCATAAGCAATAATGTTGAACTTTTCTGATTATAAACATCGCTTACTTTACTGTACCTTAGTTTGTACATGTTGCGTAGTGGATCGCACAAAGTCAGTCAGTTGGTCATGATATGAATATTATTTAATATAGCTGTCAATGTATCAGTGGTAATTATAAATCAGAAGTACGTTTTATGTTAGCTGTGCTGTCAAATTTGTGTTTAAGGTCCAATTGCAGTAATTTTGCTATATCTCAATTTAACTAATACCAGATTTATTCCACACAATAATCTCAAATTGACATTAACGTTTTGACATCATTGTCTGGGCTATATCTAGTTTTAGTTACATTGAGATTTTGCAAAATTGCTGCAAGTGGACCTAAAAGTAAGTGTAATGTGCTTGTTTGCTTTAATATGTATTTTCTATATTATTATTTTGTTAATATAAGAAAGGTATACGATAATTAGACGAGATTCACTTACCCACTACTGATAGTATCATACAAACGACTTGTACACACATTAACAATCTGGCGCCATGTTTTACATGTTTCGATTTATTTTTACTTGCGCTTAATTTCATCATCTAAGCATAATGGATGCGTCCGCCCGGATAGCAGAAGGCTGCCCCTTCCAAAGTTTCCTTCGACACGCGCCTCACGGCTGTTAATCATTGTACCTAGATCTAAAGCTTTGTAGGAAAGAGACCTATAATAACTAGACTAGGCCTCATAACTTAGTAGTAAATTGGTTTTCAAAGTACATCGGTCCTCAGCTGTGAACGTACCCGCGCCGGTCCAACGTGGACCGCCGCGGCCTCCGTGGAGTTCGTTGACGTTTCGTCATCAGATTCCGCGCTTACACCTCACGACCCTTAAACATTATACTTTGAAAGTTTTGGTATATAGAAAGAGATCTATAATAAGTAGACTAGGCTGCTGTTATAGCCTATTAGTAGAATGGTTATCAAAGTACACGGGTCCTCAGCTGTGAACCTCCCCGCACCCGCTCAACGCCGGCCGTCGCGCTTCCGAGGCCTGCGTCCGCGGACACTCCGTCATCAGATTCCGCTCTCACAGCTCACGTTCCTTGGACATTGTACATTCAAAGTTGGTTGATAGAAAAGAGACCTATAATAACTATACTAGGCTATAGTTATGTAATTAACGGGATTGCTACCATGGTGTACCTTGTTTTTTACGTGTCCACGATATTTCGGCACTGCTGCAAGCGCCACGATCACGGAGTAATTGAAGTTATTGTGGGCAAGAAGAATGTTATTGGCAGACATCGATCTACCCTCTGACGAAGTCTTTTATTGCGCTCGCCCGTACCACTGTTCGCGTTCTCACTTTCTCTCGAAACTGTTCTCGACACACAACACTCGCAGTATATTATTCCGGTTTTTGCACATACGATTAACGGTTAGCAATCCCGGTTAATAACATAAATTACCATAGTGTTAGTGACCATGGGAGCTTGAAACAATATAAAGTGGAGTGGTACTCAAATTACACCGGTCCTCAGCTGCGAGCGTCCCCGCACCCGCTCAACGTCGACCGTCACCGCCTCCGAGGCCGGCGTCCGCGGACACTTCGTCATCGGATTCTGCGCATGCGCCACTAGTGCCGCCCGCGCCGCCCGTCGCTGGCCAGAGCATCCCACCCGTACTTATGAAGGAGCCTGACACTAAGGTATGTGGACATTTAGGGGAGAAGTTTTTTAAACCTTTCTTGGTTTTAGCCCAAAAATGTTGGGCGTAGTGTAATAACGATTGATTTTAAATACCTTTTTTTTTTTATCTAAGAACACATTTTATTATGGTTAACAGAACGAGAAATGTCTCGGAACAGTAAAACTTTGCTCATTAATGTAAAATCACAATGCTTTGTAAAAGTGTCATGGAATGGATGAACCTTTGTGCATTAAGTAATCGCAATGCTTTGTAAAACATACTTAATTCGCGTCAGCATTAAGATTGTCACTTAGCTGCCTAACTGAATACCAGAGATGTAAACAATACATTAAAATAAGTAGCTAAAATACAAGATACCAGGTAGTCAAGTATTTAGATAACAGATACAAGATACTTTTGGAAAAAGTAGTTGAAATACCAGATACAAGATGCGTATTTTCAAAATACTTTTTTTAAGATAAAAATACTTTTTGAGTCGAAACATGTTAGCAATACAGCCAGTCCGCTGTTTAAAGTGCAGAGCATTTATGATTGGTCAGGTTTAGGATGGAAGATTATGATTATGCAGGTTGTTTACAATTGGTTGGGTTTGGGATGGGTGACCGCGATTATTAATAATATGCAGGTTGTTTACGATTGGTTGGGTTTGGGATGGTGACCGCGATTATTATTAATATGCAGTGTTTACGAATGGTCATGTTCAAGAGATGATATCATTAGTAAGCTTCGGTATCTCTCTCTAATTATTTGTAAAAAAACCTGATTATTATCTTCATTTCACTCCATTACAAAACAGATCAAAGAAAATTGACACAAATTGCAAACAACTCTTCTTCCTCTAGTGAACAAAAAAACGTACCTGAGGGGAAGTTACGTATTTTTTGTTCACTACCACCTAACCCATAACATTAAGGTGAACGAGACGGCAACATATGATTTTCTTTTCACGGTGAATAAATTTGATAGAAATGTATGCATTTAGGCTTAGAATAGTAACGCGCTAATTTACAAAAATGCATGCGTTTTAAAATCAATGTTGAAAATTATATAGGAAAAGAAAAAGTATCTTAGTAAAAAAAGTATCTTTAAAATACTAAGATACTGAAAAAAGTATTTAAATACAAGATGCAAATTACATTTCAAAAAAGTATTTGAAATACAAAATACAAATACGTATTTTGTATCTGTATCTCAGATACTTTTATCTCAGATAAGTCACATCTCTTCTGAATACATCATTCTACCTTATAAAAATGACAGAACAGAGTAAGACACTAGAGTGTTACTTCAAAACTAATGTTTACACCTTTTATTGATGACAGAACAGAGATTTCTATAAAGTATTGTCCACAGGCGTCGCCGTCACCGTATTGCGACTTCTGCCTCGGCGACGACCGAGAGAACAAGAAAACAGGAACTCCCGAAGAGTTGGTCAGCTGTTCCGACTGCGGACGATCAGGTAAGCGTCGCGGACGGCCTCGGAACGGGCACACACCCTGCTACCACCTAAAGAACAGGGTCTGCGAACGCCACAGACATCTCAAGGAAAGCGTCAAACTCAACGGAGTACTAGAGATACTAACCTCCATGTCGTATCCGGCCGACGTCTTTGATACCTTCGCAACTCAAACTAAACTCCTTCGCGACGAGTACGTAGAGTACCCCGTCTCACCCCCCTCCTCCCGGCAAAGCCCTATCATGTGAACGAAATGTTTGTCACAAAAGAGGTCATCACAATGCGATGGTTTCCTTATCAAAGAGGTATGATTTTACGCAGATGGCATAATGCTAGTTTTATTAATGCATTCCAATTTTAAAATGTTAGCCTATTCCCTTCGCACGCGCCGTTGCGATTGCACTGTGAACGGCGACTTCGTGGAAGTTGTATTTTTTACGAACATTGTGATCTTAATGTTGCCATGCCTAATCTCTTCAATAATTGTGACGTTGGATGCCAAATATTTACCAAGTTATCTGTTTTAATTTAGTAATCTTCCCTTAGTCACGATTTGTCGCGGACATGACATATCATTAAGCAGAATGCAGTACATTATTTGGATTTATTATTAATATTAAGCCTTCATCTTTACGATAATAACTTGTGTCGTGCCTTATTTTTCAAGTACAGTGTGTGTTAAAATATCATGAACTAATTATATTGTCTTTACTTTGAAACCACCAGTTGCCATGCTACAAAAAGTAGAAAAATGACCACAATATTTGTACCCGTTTTATAACATTTTATTCAAAAGTGAATCAAAATCATTCGTGTAGAACTTATTAGGACTGAATCGAACGAAGTATTTTAATTGAGTTAATATTGTAATTTGTTAAATCGTGAAAGAAACAAGACATTACTTATTTAATTTAAGCATTTAAGTAAGATCCGTGTAGTTATTTTTAATGCTGATGTAGGTATACGCATTTTGCACATCTTCATTTTCCTATTAAAGTTTTAACTGCCACAAAGCCAAAAATTACTTTCACCCTAGCTTTTCTAGTCACGCAGTCAAATAATGTTATTTAGTAATAAAGATTACATTTTTGTTACGCTGTTTATTTTGAGCTGAAGTGCAATATTTTGAGCACAAAAAGTAACACTTTATTTTATTACTCATTTATATAAATTTTTTGACGGATCAAGCTCATATATATTTTATTCATTTATAAAAGTGTATGTATCCCCGAATAAATCATACAATGCTCAGAGCAAAGCGAGAGTTAAAAGAACAACAATTTAGATCAAGCCTATTCAATTCAAACTGGGCTGGGTTCCCAAACTTTATTGACCGCGGAACCTATTTAGAATTAAAAAAAAACGTGGAGCCGCTGTACTGTCTTTTCATTGTTTTGTTGCTTATTTTATCTTGTATAACGTATTAAATTCAAATCAGATGATATTGAGTATAAGTCTTTATTAAATTAGCTAACAAGATTAGAAGGTAAACAGATAAGATAGAGATTTTTCCAATGGCAGTGTGTAAAGTTGAATGTGCAATAGCTTAATTATTTAAAATATTTTTACAAATAAATTTATTTACCCATAAGTGTTAAGTGTTGAATTTAATATACCTATATACGATCTTGCAGAGAATATAATTTTTGAACGCTTAATATGTGCTTGATCCGTCAACTGTCAACAGCATATCACGGTGTCAACATGTATTTTCTTCTTAGTCGATTTTGGACTTTAATGTCTTGTTTGGAAAAACGCAGGTTATATTGTTGCTTTCAAACTGAGTTTTGCTTTGCTCATGTCTTAAAATACTACTGTTGGGTAGTAGTCTTTTATCCCTCTAGAGCTAAACGAAATTGAAGTTTGAAGTGTTCATATTTTAATATTTTCATGTTTAATATACACTCGACTGCAAATAAACAGGGCCAACCGCTAGTACCTTGGAACTCTTATTCGATTTTTTCAAAAAGTATAAAACTTACAACTTTTAAAGCTATATCTACAGAAAGTGTTTTTTATAATTCTAGAATGAGTAAAGAAAAATTGTAAAGTACTGTCAACTTACTTTGTAATCGAGCAAGAACAGCAGTGCTAACAATTTGCTATTTTTTTAATAAAGTCGCGATTATCGTCCTTTTTTATAAAATTCATTTTAGTCTGATATTTCTTGTCATTTCCTTAGTTTTTCTCCATAGTTTTCTCAGACGTGAGTATTTTTGCTTCGTTCGTTACTTCCGAATACCACAATTGGAAATCGATGAATACTTGCCTTTTTTCAAATAAAAATTAAATATTTGATTAATCTCAATAAATTCTGGTTAAACGCACTTTCTGCAGTTATAATTTTGATAGTTGTAAGTTTTATACTTTTTGAGAAAATCAAATTAGAATTCCGTGGTAACAAGTGGCCCAGTTTATTTGCAGTCGAGTGTAGGTATGAAAATATGCGAAAAAAAAATTCGTTTCCCTTCGATTCCAATATCGTACGCAGTTAAGGGTTAAAACAAGCAAGAAATTTAAAAGTGTCTGATAATCTGATAAGCTGTTGATGATACATACATATTTCAAAACGCTTTTATTTGTAAATTGGTGTTTCTACAAACGTTATATTCACATTTGGTTTTTATTTTTATGGAGCATTCATACTTTGCTTGACATCTTATTTTAATGCTGTCCCAAAATAGTAGCAGTTCTTGTTAATTACATTGGATTATGTTTAAATATATGTATTGAACGTTCTATTACAGCTTAAAGTGGTAAAAAAGTTCAATAAAAAGAAATCAGACATGTTTTTGATGTAATAAGATTATTATTACTATTGATTCATATGCTTTGTTATAATTAAATAAGTACATTTATAAATGATCCAAATTGTGTGCATGCTCCATTTTGAGGCGCATTTACAGTTGGTCATTAGCCCGTATTCGGGTACACGAAATACATTACTCAGGTTCGGGCACCCGATGCAATATTGACATTGTATTTTCGCGATCACGAACTGGAAGACGGCGTCGGGTAAACGAAAACTGTCCGAATACGGGAGTACTCAACTCCGTTCATTTACACTTAGTCGTTTGTACGAATTCCATAGCCAATCGTATTCAGGCTAACGATCAAGTGTTATTGCGCCATAAGTCCCATGACTTGAATTTTAGAAGTAATGTTCATAGTAGAGCTTATTACTACGTGCCTTTTGATGTTTTTAAATATCAAAAATATTCTAAAAACCATTATCATGTACATTTACAATCCAAAGAAAAATTCTAAATCTTAAGTATACAAAGACTATCTCGACATTATTTTAATAATAGGGAAGATGCATATATAATATTTATGAAAATTTTATGATGAAAATGTTAAAAAAAATAAAAGAAATGCCACTGCAACGTTGTTATTTTACAGAATGTTGTTTTTTAACAATTATTACGAATTAAAAATACTTGAAACGGAACGTATTTTAAAACACCAATCAGCGTTTAGTGACGTCACTCCTGTTATGACAACTTCTTTGAGGTTATGGTTGTCAAAGTAAATATTATTTTATGGGAATATTTATTGCGTTTTTTTACATTTAATAAAAATGGAAGTTGCGTTTATCAAAGCAGACTCCAGGAATTTACCAAGAGTTAGCGTTGACATGGTTATAACTTTTTTGTCCAAAGTGCAGAGTTTTTAAGTGTAGAAATGAAAGGGACTAAATTACTACGGTATGTAAAAATCGTAGTTGTTAAACTTCGTATTTTATTCAGTGGCTTCTACAAATCTTACGGCGATAATGCAATCGGCTATGTCCAAATTAAAAGGGATGGAGAATTATGTACAGTAAAAGGTCGAGTTCTCCGGAGCATAAAGTACGTAAAGAAGGTTATCGTGTTACAGTTATTTTAAATGAAACGCAAAGATTGGTTCAGTCCTGCCAATGTGAAGATTGTGCCACACATTTTAAACTTTATCTAATTTTCGTCGTCATTCTCCAACTGTAAAATTAAAAATATATTATAGACAGGTTTTGTAAGTATTAGGTAGGTTACTAATGCGTTTTTACGTACAAGCAGATTAATTAAGTACATAACAAGTATATTCGCCGACTTAAGTCAAAGTGATCTTCTCAGCATCGAATAATGGTCTTTGGAGAATAATTGTCATTTCTCTTCGCAGCTTGAAACCACTTTTTTTCAGTTTTGGGTCAGAAGTTCCAGTAAAAAACAATTTATTTGGGAACTTTGTTGAAGTAGATTGGCACAAAACATGAGTCAATACGGCTTTTTTTCGGAATATTAGTGGTATTGTTATGATCACATGATGTTGATGGATAGTCCATTTTAAATTTTTCAAAAAAATATTTCGAAATTCAAAAAATATGCAAAAGTATGAAAATTTAAAGCCAGCAACGAACAAGTACGACCAGTGACAGACAGGAGTGACGTCATCGCAAACATAGGTTCGTTTTCGCGCGAAAATTTAAATTGTCAATTTAAAACCGCATTTTTTCCGATAAATCACAATGTTTTAATTTTTTAATATGTCTGTGGTTTATTCTACATGGAATTCTTTAAAATGAAAACAAATATAAAAATATTGCATCTTCCCTATTATAGTTAATCTTTGTCATTCCTCTAAACTAAAATATAAATGTTTTGTTTAATTAATTATTAAAAATATGTTTAGATTATAAATTGTTAGTTATCAAAATTTGTTCATTTATACTTTAAAAGTTTAAAAATTCTGACAAATATAGTGACTTATTTTATAGATTATTTAGGTGACACACGAACATTGACAAGTTTTTTTATTACAATGTTTATACATATGTTTGATAGATTTATTATAATATCAAAATATTTACATAATAACAAGTGTTAGTTACATAATTATAGTTATAAATGCAATACATATTACTTTTTATATATTCAGAGACCCCCTTAAGATATAATTATCATGTTTGTGGTATTCATAAAAACCTAATATAAAGCCAAAGGAATATTTTTATTCCGTTTTCTTATAGTATCATACAAATACTTACAGAAGTGTCATTATGATAGATTCAACAATGATGATTTGATGGCGATTAGTCTCGTCATTGGTTTGTTTGACAGTTGTTAAATTGTTGGCAATATGAGTGTTTCAAAATAGAACAAATCGTTTTTTTATGTTGAACAGCAATAGGTGCCTTAACCTGCAATAAATTGTTTTATTTTAATTTTTTTATATTATTCGTTAAATATTATAGATCTATCCTTTACAATTGCGCAGCTTCGTCAGGCATTTTTATTTCGTAACTTAATTATTTATACAGTCAGTTGCACATTCAATAGGCAGACAAACAATATTTTTCGAGTACTTTTGCTTGTTAACGGAAATTCAATCTAAATACACTCGACTGCAAATAAACTGTGCCAACCGCTAGTACCTTGGAACTCTAATTCGATTTTTTCAAAAAGTATAAAACTTACAACTTTTAAAGCTATATCTACAGAAAGTGTGTTTCATAATTATTAAAATGAGTCAAAATTTATTGTAAAGTACTGTCAACTTACTTTGTAATCGAGCAAGGACAGCAATGCTAACAATTTGCATTTTTTTAATAAAGTCGCAATTATCGATTTTTTTTATAAAATGAAGACAGTCTGATACTTCTTATCATTTCCTTAGTTTTTCTCCATAGTTTTTTCAGACGTGAGTATTTTTGCTTCGTTCGTTACATTCGAATACCACAATTGGTAAACGATTCTTCCTTGGCTTTTTTTTAAATAAAAATTTAATTAATTGCATAATCTCAATAAATTCTAGTTCATTTTAATCACCACGGAACGCACTTTCTGTAGTTATAATTTTGATAGTTGTAAGTTTTATACTTTTTGAGAAATCAAATCAGAGTTCCGTGGTAGTAAGTGGCCCAGTTTATTTGCAGTCGAGTGTATTACGCATTTCCAAATCGTATAGTGAAATCGTATTAAATTGTAATATACGATTTATGCACTAAATCACGCCTGTATTATAAGGTTTATAATTATGATGCATTTTCACATAAAGTTAGTTTTAAGTTTTTATTTTATCTTGCTCTGATATAGCTGCGTTGTTAATTTAATTATGTTTATGTTTTATTTCATAGTTACCGAGTTTCTCGAATATAATATCTATAGTATAATTAAAATATTTAATATAAATCTTTTCCAAAGTGTCAAAAAATGCTTGTACGGAAGTGCATATTGCGTACACCCAAAGATTGTTGTTTTTTCTGTTTTATTTTCGGAATTATATTTGCTTATAGATGGCGCTGTAGGCACAGTTTGACTGACATTGATATGTCGTGTAGTCTATGCCTACTGCAAAAAAATCCACAGGCTGAAATGTGTTTAGCCTTATTTATATTTGTAGGACGTAATTGCATTATTAAAAGGGAAATATACCTTATTGGCTATGATATGGCGAGAAATCATTCACAGTTCAGCCTGTGTAAATATTTATACCGAGTTCATGTTTGTTTTTTTTTTAATTTCGTGTAAAGAATATGTTCACGGCATATTATTTTTATTTGCAATATTAAAAAGAAATGTATAACCAAAAGTCTACTGGTTTCATTGTTTGTGCTGAAGAATAGTGAATGTTGTGCACTTCCATGGCGACATTTTCTGACGCTTTTAATGTTATCGAACTAGTTTTGAAATTATTTAAAAAGAAACCTCTATTTGTTTTTTAAGTTTTGTTTATTTTTTTTCACTATTGTTCGGCACATCGTACCTTTTCCTTGACTCGTATAAATTAATTACAGTTGACGTCGAATTCGCAAAGATAAGGTAAGAAAATGTCATGTGCCTAACAATACGTGAAGTTTATAGTTAGCTTGCGAGGTTGTTTGTGAATGGGATACTCAAATCGTTTGGACTTTATCACAACTTAAGATCAGGTGGGGTAGAGTCATTTGCCTACCTCGCTTTAAAAAACATGTCGACGTGAAATAAGGATGTAGTCAGGGATGTATTTACAAATCTGGCGCAACGGGCCACTTATAATTCGTACCCCCATAGAATTGGTAAATCAAATTAAAATATAGGTCAGTTACAAATACCTTTATATGGCTTCTGCCGTCCCTTGCAGCTCTTGTGCCCCTGCATGTAGTTAACACAATTCGATTTGATTCCAATTTGAAATATGGTAAAAGCGCTTGGGTTTAAATTAAATTGTACAATTGTTGAAAAAAAAGCACAATGATACATTCAGATCTGCCGATGATGATCTGATGTTTACTGATTAAAGGTTTTTTACCATGACACCTCCGTTGGTTTGCCATGTATAAAATACAATAATTAATGAATATATTATACTCGTACCCATTCGCAAACAACCTCTTAAAATAGCTTATTTTGCATGCCACAGAGTTATTTATTACAAATACTGCCCAATATAAACCGAACCGTTGTTCAACACAGGTCACCCCACCTGCCTACAGTTCACTGCCAACATGATAGTGTCAGTGCGCAAGTACCGTTGGCAGTGCATCGAGTGCAAGTGCTGTTCCGTCTGCGGGACCAGCGATAACGACGTAAGTGTACCCTTATGCCGTAGTGTTAAGGTTCATTTATAAACAGTTTACATTGGTGTAGTTTAGCAACATGATAGTGTCGGTGCGTAAGCACCGTTGTCAGTGCATTGAGTGCAAGTGCTGTTCCGTCTGTAGCACCAGCGATAAGTAAGTGTACTCTTATCCCCTTCCGTTAAGGTTTATTTCTAATAAGGTCTTTTTTAGTTATCTTTTGTTCTACTAACATTTATGCTGAGTGTGTCGATAGCGTATGAATAGTTTTTATTTTTAATTGTTTTTAAGTACAAAATTCTATTTTTATATTAGAAGAAAAAATACTACAAATAAATGCAACACCTTGGGACTTTTTTTAAAGCTTTAAAAAACAATGTAAAGAAAAATACTTATTTCAACTGTTTTTTTATTATTTATTCGTACCTACCTGATAACTAGTGTAAAATTTTGTATACCAAAAATACATATTATCTACAAATCATACAAGATTTAAGTTGTCGATTCTGGCATGAATCTCTATAGTTGACCTTAAATTTGACAGCAGTGTATTATTTGTGTATATCGTTTGTTTAGGACCAGTTGTTGTTCTGCGACGACTGCGACCGCGGCTACCACATGTACTGCCTGGCGCCGCCTCTGGACACGCCGCCCGAGGGATCGTGGGCCTGCGCGCTCTGTCTGCAGGAGTTCCACCGCAAGTGAGCAGGTCAGTGTATGTGGGCGGTTATATCGCAGCACATAGGACCGGCTGTTGTTCTGTGGCGACTGCGATCGCGGCTACCACAGGTACTGCTGCAGGAATTCCACTGCCAGTGGGCAGGTCAGTGTATGTTGGTGGTTATATCGCAGCACTTATTGAATGCGGCTACCATAGGTATTGCTGCAGGAGTTCCACTGCCAGTGAGCAGGTCAGTGTATGTGAAGGGTGGTGGGGCGGTTATATCGCAGCACAGGAGCGGCCGTTGTTCTGCGACGACTGCAACCGCTGCTACCACATGTACAGCCCGGCGCCTCGCCGCCACTAAAGTACGGCCAACGAGAAGCTATACAAAAGTTCATTCAACTTAAACGAGACCATGGGACTGACAGTCTAATAATTATCTTTTTCATCTCTTAAATATAACATTAGGTCTCGTTCTGTCATTCATGTCATCGCCGAGTTCGCGAACATTAGAGCGCCCATTTGACAGTAAAAAATATTGACATGATTTCATTTCATTTCGTGTTGTGGACGAAGAGTCGTGACCTTTCATCGACTTTATTTAGATTTTGTATCGCTTCTCGTTGGCCGTGCTTTAGACACGCCGCCCGAGGGCTCGTGGGCATGCGCGCTCTGTCTGCAAGAGTTCCACCGCCAATGAGCAGATGAGTGGCTGATATTTCTCTTTAGTTGGTACTATGAGGCTCCAGAGGGGAGCCGCAGTTTCGGATGAATATAATAAAAGATGAATTTGTACTAAGTTTTGTATTGTCTTCAAATAATTACAACACTATTATTGATATGTTTTCACTTCTACGCCCGTTTTTAGAATGCCGTCTCTCGAATAGAGACAAAAAGCAACCAGGTTTTTTAATTTCGAATACTTCTTTATTTTTCAATATGAAATACTCTGAATGCCAAAGAGGATGATAACGCTACGGGCGTTACAGTACATAGAGGTGTGTCTTCAACATTTTGCAGTGCCCACATTCCGAGTTTAAAAAATTGTACTGACGTCTTATTCAAAGATTATTCGCGGCAAAGAAAACTATTTTTTTATTCGTGGTCTTAATACTTTTTTTTAAATTTTCAGTGAATGCAATTCAATAATTTGTTTTTCATAAAATATTTTCTTCCCCTTTAAGTTTTACCATCGCAACATCTTGCTACTTTTAGCATGATGTCCTTCTCGACCGCCTTTTTATCGTCGTACCGAAATTCATCAAAATCTGTTTTGGCTGGAGAGCGTAACATACAGAGAGTTAATTTTGAATTAAAATATTAGTTGAATGACTCACTATTCCTTATTTTGCTTATTTTTAAACTGTTGCGAAATAAACAGTGTCTTAGATATTATCACAGAGCACTCTCACTAGAGTTCGCATTACTCAATCTTTTGTTTGAAATCGAAATCGCGGAAGTGGTCGGCATGCGGGATGATTAAAACACGTCAGTGTGATGTCACGGTCAAATTATTACGGGACAAATTGTGTACAAAATTGTATCACAACGTTTGGGTGGCGTAGCACACGCTTGTGCATTATAACCACATAAGCTTGGCATCTAGTAGTAGTAATCTAGTGTTGTTGTTCAGTGGATATAGTATGACGGAGAGCGACTATTTACTTTGTCATTAGCGTTCACGGGCTTAGTGGGCGTCATCGGGGTTTAATACAGCCATTACCATTACCTCCCCACCTGTGCAAATCAAGATGGCGCCTTAACCCCACTCGAGGCAGGTGCTCTGCTCTGATTGGACGCGACATAAGATTATTAATTAGTGACTTTTATTACATTGCTAAGTTATTAAAGAACACAAAACTTGTAAATAATTAAATTAAATTTAGATTTTATAAAATTATTTAAAGTGTTAACAATAGCCTTTTCGCGTTTAGCATTCACAATCAACTCGACTCGTCACATCCTCCGACAAGTATATTAATTAAATTGTTGTTTTTTCAGATTGTGAACGAAAGCGTGGCGAGATGGAATGTGACGTACGCGCGTCCGTGTACGAAAGTACCTTCGGTGTTTCTTGTCATTCGGTTATAAGATAAGTGTACACTGATTTCATGTAATTCGTTGCCATAGACATTAGATTGCCGAGGCTGAGTACGGACTGACGTTCACGACCCAATGTACATTACTTTAAAGCTGTAAATACGTGCTTTTAAATCGCTGGACGGACTATTACTTGATCAATTAAAAACCGTAGTTAGAATATTATGAAAACATCATGGTATTGATCATTTTTAAATTATATCAATAATTGCCTCAGTGGTTTGTTTGAACAGTAAAAACTATTGAAATCGTGCCATTAAAGAAAGGAATCGAAAATGACTACGCAAGATATTCTGTCTCACGCACACGTTACTGAGGATAGCATGTGCGAGAGGGACAGACTGTCTCAATTCGTCATTTTCGATTCCTTTATTTAATGACATGACTTATATGTGAAATAGCTTTCTGAAAATGGTACCTAAATAATTTATGGGTATTATTAATCGATAATGGCTTAAGTGCGTTCTAGATATTTGATACATTTACCCCAGTTAAGATATCATATTAAGCTTATTATTACCCTACAGTACGGCCAACATAAAAAAACGAAACTGGTTTGTGTTTGACTACTGTCACGTCTTATCTTTCTGAAATCTATTTTGAACCTTATTGCTTTTGCTATGAGACCTCGCGTTCGGGATTTTAAGGTTTAATTCTGTCCATTAATTTTTCATAATGATCTATTTTACTTAAAGAACTTTAAAGGAACGTTACGTATAAAGTAGCTGTTTTTTATGCCAGGTGGCACGTGCATATACTGGGTTTCAATTCTTTTTCTCAGTAATTACTTAATGTGCAACAGTTTAAGGCAGTTGATGCGACTATTTTTTTTGTTTACGTGAAATGTATGTATCTATTGTATTTCTCGAGCAAGACAATAGCGGATAGTTAATCACTTCCTCGCCGGCGCGGTCGGACAACTGCCTGACGTCAAAATGACTCTGTACTCATCACATAATGTTTGAAATGAAACTTCTTTACGGACGCGGTGTATATATACAATTTATACATATATATGAGTGATGTGTGCGCAACTCCGTTTCCCTATGCCTTGTGCACCGCCTAATATTAGGTTATTTAAGAAAAGAAGTTTCACTTCAGATGTGTGGTCCTTGTACACATTTTTTTTATTAAGTGGATATGAATTTACAGTTTTATTGACTTAGTTTTATTCTAAAGAAAATGATGCTTATGTAAAATAAAAATATGATGGCTTAGTTTTTTTTTACAAAAAGCCAGTCTGTACTGGGCCTCTGTTGTTTCTGTGTAAAAGGCGGTTGATGATGCCATGCTATTGTCAAGAAACATGGTTAATAAATCTGACAGCACGTTACGTAGGATGGCATGTGCGAGAGGGACAGAATGTCTTACGTCGTCGATTCCTTTCTTTAAAGACACGAGTTATATTCATAGAGGTATAAGAATGGAGTGGGGAAGGCGGCTTTAAAAGTGTCCGTCTAGTAGAGAGAGAAAGAAGATGAGACACCGCTAGCTATCTCTCTCTCTTGTGACGCATGCGCAGTCGTCTGTCCAATAGTTGGTCCAAGCATCACATCGAAATAGTAAGATGCTTACGGTTGCCAATGCGCATGCGCGATTAGAGAGAGAAAGCTAGCGGTCGCTCATCTTCTTTCTCTATTAGGGGGACACTTCCACTTGTAGTAGAGTGTATATCTCCCCTATTCTATTCTTATACCTCTATGGTTATATTATAGGTCGTTAGCGAATGGCAGAAGTCTTTAACTTTGACAATTTTTTGTAATTTAATATAATATAATGTGTAACAATTTTGTGATACTGACTCTCAATATTAAATATTCGTAATTTGAAATTATTCCATCAACGTTTTTTGCAATAATATGGCAGTATCAACAGCCTTATCGAATATTTCCATACTGCAGGCGTGTTAATAAAGCATTCTTTCTACCTCTACCGGTGCTTGCTTATAAAACTCTTTGAGAGCGGTGTGACGATTTCTTAATGGCTATTAAACATGTTTTGGATGCTAAAGATGAAATATACATATATCACATTGATAAGTACGATTTTTTTAAATCTGTTGACGTATAACTGTTTCTTTAAAGCGTTCTTTTCTTAATAGACGACTTCTATAGTACCTAAGTCATATTAAACATAGAAGCACACATATTACCTCAAAACTTGATTACCACGCAGGCCGTTATCTGTCAAATTCCTCAAACTGACTTTTTAATCTTTATCCTGTTACACATAGGATTCACAATCGGTTGAGGTTTGATACTTAGCGTTAACTTGTTGTGTTGCAAACTTATTACCACAAGGCGAGAAGATGCTTTCACGACACTTATTAGTGTTCGTTACAGTAGGAAATTTAATGCAAAGTTATATTGACCTTTTGACTTGACTTGATGCAGTAATGATAAATTTCCGCGCTGATATGTGTACGTCAATCTTAAAACTATAACTCCGCACACCGAAGAATTGTCAGAACAAGGGCTATAGAATCAAAGTAATACTATAGCGTTTGAGCGTCCACTCCCATAAACAAAAGATTTCCAAACAAAGTATTACTCAACCAAAAAATATAAGTGGCGTTTTGGTAGGTTGCATTCGACATTATATCGCTTTTTGATTCGGTATCGTAAAGATAACCAAGGTATCCACAATCCATACCAAGGTATCCAATTTGATGTTTTATATTTCGTACGCACGCTGATCATAGCAACATATAGTTGGCTCTTTTTTGGCATAAGAGTCGACTTTACCCGTCTTATTCCAAAACGCGAACTAATGTTAGTCTTAGTTTAAACTAAGATTTTAAACCCAATGTTGTAACCGTCTTCCTTTAAGCAAATAAAACTGGCAGCAATCATTTTTTGTCCAGGTTTAATTTTACGTTTTGCAATAAGACGGTAAGAGTTGAATTTAAACTCTTTCTATGCTTTAGACCTTGTTCTGAGGAAAAAATTCTTTTGTTTTAGTTATATACGGGGAAAACCGTCCTTCTTTTGACGTCTGAATTTAGCCACTGGATATTAATGTATCGTCACACCGCTATACTATTTCACCTTCAAAGAACCGGCATTTTATATATAACAATGAACAAATTGTTTTTTTTTAAGTTAGTCATGATTCTTTTAACTAAAATGGCATTTTTTTGTCGAGTGTTTTAGTTTCAATAAGTATTACAATAAAACATTGAGTATTGAGTATAGGTGCTATTTATTCATTTCATTTCTTAAGTTACAAATTATTTATTAATACAGTACACAAACACTTATATGAGACGGTCCACTTCAATTAATAAAGTTCTTGCTAACCAAATATACATTTAACTAGAATAAATCAAGCCCAGGTATCAGTATGGATTCTAATCAGGGCCCGTAGATATAAAAACAAGCAGTTAAATGCTTCATTTTAATTTAAACATATTTTGTACCATTTTTATTTTTACAATTATTTCGTTTTAAGATTGTTTTTAACATTAAAATACAAATTATGTTCAATGTTGCTATTATTATAAATCTCATTTTTTGCATTACAAAAGTCTCGTTACTCGTGTAAAATGCCGGTTCGTACATCCCTCATACATTAGCTTCTATCACTGCATTTAAATCACGTTTCTAGGCAAATGTGAAGTATCAACTTTATTATAAGTACATTATGATTATAATCTTAGTGGTTCTATCAATGTGAAACATTGTTAAAAAAAAACTTGATAAATTTAAGATCATTTTTATTTTTATACTAACCTGAAAATTTATATGCCTACTGTCAAGCAGCATTCCATTGACGATAATGAGAAATTAGAAAGGATTTTTGTCTTTTTTTAATTTTAATAATTTTGCTGTGAAATTATTGCCAGTATCCAATTGTAACCGATGCACAATATGCTGTCATTGAGATTACTCTTGTTATAAATTTTAAAATGGTAATAACAATATTAACCCCATACCGGATACGTACTGCGAATTCCGTAACTATTGCAGTTACTTGTTGTAGTAGATTTTTAAGAGCGATTTTTTACAAGATTTATCAGATCGATTTTATAATATTTAAAATTGAAAGATGACATCGTATCTTTTAAGCTCAATCTATGATTTTTTAATATTGCGTTATTAAGTTTCGTATTATACTTTCATATCGCAAGCACATTGTTTTAATGTTGTAACAATAAAAGAAATTGTAATGCTTGCGCTTCACTTGACTATTCGTGTTGGATATTTGTAAACTTGACATCAGTCCTTGTCCTTTTTATTCCTTATAAAGCATTATTCATTATCATAATGACAGATTGTTTTCAAGTTTACGAAAAGCCAAGTTAAGTGCTGGTATAAGGTAAAAATAATTGTGCTTGAATAAACTCTGGCAAATGTTTGTAATGGTTAAGACATACGTAACACTGTGGTAAGTGATGCTGTGATCAGTTTAGCAGGTTGTGATGGTTAACACAGTTTTGTGCTTTCATTTAGACATATATTTTTCTCGTAGCTATTAGTGATTTGTACAGACATGTGACAGGGCGATTCGTCTTTATAATAATTTTCTAATAGTGGTTTAGTAATTAACGCTGAAGTTTCCATTGTTTGTAATATGTGTGGAAATTTTTGACAATCAGTTCGAGGTCAGAAGCGATGAGAGCTAGCTACTAAAAAAAACATCAGTGTAATCTAGCAAAATGGGGTAATTAATAGAATAGATTTAAATTCTATTTAGTCCCACAGTTACTATTTAGATTAAAAAAAAATAATAGGCACATATATTTTCCTTTTGTCAATCAATCAAAAAAAAAAATACAAATTCAAGCGCGTCAAAGTTTAGTAGTGGCGGCTTGTGACGTCACATCTAAGTAAAAATTGTACCAAGACGTAAGATCATGCGAAATTTCAAATCAATATATAAAGAAAAAAGAAAAAATACGTGTCCAATACCTTTTGATAATCTACCCGAAAGACGCCCATAAATAAATTCAGAATTGTTGAAGACGAGCCTTTGTCAATTAAGTTAACTTTGTAAGTTTTAGCGGTTATAACGGTAACGACATCCGAATTTCGCTTATTTGTATCTATATCGAACAAGTTTACATGTCGTCGCGTGAAGGGCGCATCAATAAGTGTACGTGTTTTTAGATCTCCAGATCTTGTATAAATACTGTTCTTACGTCGGCTGTTTGTCACATCGTTACGTGGTTTTGATGGCATTATGTGTTTTATGCTCTTTCACTATAAAATTGGTATGTTATTTAACAAGGTATATGTGGTATCGCTTGAGTAAACATCCATAATATTTAAAAATTCAAGTCTTAACATCTTACCGTCGTATTTATAAACAAGATTTAGTCATTAGTTTTGCTTAAGTAATGATTTGGGTAACATTTTTTATTTCATACTCAGGAAATTGATGAAGTTATGACTCGATTACACTTGGTCGGTAGCCCGTATCCGGGTGCACAAAGACATTACTCGAATTCGGACACGGGAAGACGGTGTCGGGTAAACAAAATGAAAACAAACCGAATACGGGCGTACTCCATTCCGTTTATTTACACTGTCGTTTACCCGAATTCCATTGGCACTCGTATTCGGGCTAACGGGCCAAGTGTAATCGCGCCATTAGAACTGTCAAAAAATTAGAATTATTTTAATTCAAATGTTTTTTTTTATTGGCACGAGTTCTAACCACTTGGTTAGTAATAGTTACAATTTTCGTTGTTTAGTAAACGTTGAGTACAATGACTTGGTTACTTAGCAATAAAGTAATTGTTCTTGTTTATAAATACGACGGTTAGACTTTGGATGTAGTTGTAACGGTAAGTATTTTGGTATACCTCACCGACACGGCCGTCAGGGCCGTACTAGCATAATAGTCAGTGCATTCGCCCGGATAGCGAAGGGTGCGGGTTCGAATCCCGTCTGCTGCCTGGTGCGCGTGGATTTATTGTTTCTAGTAAAATTTTCTTTAGATTGTAACATCTAGCAGTAAAATGTTTAAAAAATAACAAATAAAACATGAATTATAATAAATTCCCTTTTTTATTAAAATATAATAATAAATTCCCTTTTTTATTAAAACATATTTATTTTCTTGGAATAAGTTAATAGTACAGTCATTTGGTGAGAAATATAGTGGTTACCTGGAAAGATTCCGGGAGTTTTGAAATTTGGTATTTTTATAAATTTTGAGGTGCTCTTTCCGAATTTCGACTTTGCCACCTCGTATTTTTGCCGCTCGCACCGCCATATTGGAAAAATGGCGCCTAAAAGCAGTTTTTTGACAATATCTCCTTTCCAACTCATGTTACGATAAAAACAGTTAATACAAAATGAAACTAGAGACAATTGCCTACAATTTATGTATCCACCTTTTTTTTCATAAAGTCAATAGTTTTGGCGTACGAGCGCCGTAAAGTGTACTCCAAGGCGCATTTTGGCCAAAAACTCATTTCCACACCATCTAAGTGGCGCGTTTTTTTTAATGTGGTATCCCCAATACAGCGTGTAAGTAAAGCTAAGAATTTGGGACTGATTATAGATGAGCACCTAAACTTCGAAAGCCACATTGCTGAATGCTCCCGTATCTGTTTTTATAGATTGAAGCTATTGTACAAAATTAGGCCCTATTTATCTGAAGAGCTGAGAATCAAGTTGTGTGAAATGCTTGTTTTATCTAAATTGAATTATTGTGAAACAGTTTTTGGGCCCTGCCTCATGTCTAGATCAAATAAGGTCATCCAACGCGTACAGAACGCTTGTGTTCGGTTCTGTTTTTATGTGCCTCCTCGTTTACATGTGACTTCTTTCTTGAACGATGCAAAACTGTTAAAAATGGAGGCAAGGGTGAAACTTCATCTGGCTACTCTATTTTTTGATGTGCTGGAGAAGGGAAGACCAAACTATCTTTATAATAAACTTGTATGGATGCGTGATAGGAGTAGATACCCAGTAAGGCAGTATGGGCATGTCTTTGTAACAATGAAGCACAGAATAGCAGCGTTTCGTGGATCCTTTAGATTTGCAGCCACGAAATGCTGGAACGACTTCCCGCCGCCAGTGCGTAATTTGAAAACAATTCAAACATTTAGAAAACATCTAAAAACACATTTACTGCATCTGCAAAGCTTGTTATAGTATCTACGACTCACTTTAGAGTTTTTCACTTCTAGTAAACTGGCTTGCGGGGTTGATTCTGGTTGGTTGGCTTACACTTGTTTGGCCACATCTCTGCGGAACACGCCATCCACTCTGTTGTCGCCATGCATGTTCAGATTGTTTTTTTATAATATGCTATCGTATTTTCCGCATGTTTTATGTTAATATGATAATATTTCAATGATATAATGTATTAATAGATTCCACCTTTTTATATGTTAGTTTTTATTGTGTTTAATATATTTAGTTATCAATTTCGTCAACCTTAGGCCCTGCCAGAATATCAGCGCTGCAGCGGCCCTGGCGTCGCTGTGGCATTATGCTGAGGCAGGGACCTAGTTAGCCTTCTTTTTTTCTGTTATTGCTTTTGTTTTGTGTAATCCTATTACATAAGGCTAATAAAATTATTTCTTGCAATTCAATGTGCTAAAATTTAGAGTATTCTCCTTCGCTTTGTTGTTCTCGATGGACCAGGTGTTGCAAATTTATCGTCTATAGTACCAATCGAAACGTCACAGACCGGTATTTCATCTACATCATGGGTCTATTATAGCATAATATAATATCTTTAGTCAGTATAGTTTAAATCTACTTAAATTTTATGACTCACAAATATAATAAGTTGAAAATAAATGCCACAGGTTGCATGAATAATGAGAATGACCAAAGCGCGCGTTGGAGTACACTTTGCGGCGCTCGTACGCCAAAACTATTGACTTAATGAAAAAAAAGGTAGATACATAAATTGTAGGCAATTGTCTCTAGTTTCATTTTGTATTAACTGTTTTTATCGTAAAATGAGTTGGAAAGGAGATATTGTCAAAAAACTGCTTTTAGGCGCCATTTTTCCAATATGGCGGCGCAAACGGCAAAAATACGAGGTGGCAAAGTCGAAATTCGGAAAGAGCACCTCAAGATCTATAAAATTACCAATTTTCAAAACTCCCGGAAAACTTTCCAGGTAAAACTACCAAATGACTGTACTATAACCGAAAAGATCGAAAGAACTTAATGTAAAATTTGACATTTCAAGCCTAATTTATATTTAAGCAATTAAAGATATCTCTTTTTTTAAGAAGTAATTTAGAATAAGCAGTGGTTATATTGATCAAACTTCTCTAAGTATAAGTAAGAATGCCAGTAGCGATGTGACTACAGCTTCTTTCATGAATGCTCTCGCCTGTTCTCTCCGCTGCGTACTTCTCTGTAATATTTCAGACGATACTGCCGTATTACACATTAATGACCTATTGTATTCTAATGTACAGCTAAGCTTTTAAATCTTATGTTTAAGTATGTTCTTGAGGTATACGCGGTATCGCCCGGATAATCATCCTTAATGAATTTGTTAAATACATTGTAAATTAAGATTTCCATCCTGTATTGTGTCATACTAATTGTGGTGACGTAACAAATAAAATGGAAATATGAAGATGTTGTTTGATTTACTAATAACATGGTCCTAGTTATAAATAATACGCACACAAAACTTTAGCATGGGTGGGTTTTAAAAGTAAGGGAAATGGGAATTAAGTAAGAATGACGAATCTATCAAAATAAAGTCTGTTGAGTAGGTAGGTACTTAAGGTAGTACTTTATGAAATGCATTACGCTATTCCTATTGGTTTGATCAATCCGGAAAAATAGTCTCGAGCACTGAGGAAACTCTAACGATTTACTTATCAATTAGCTGGCATTATCGATTTAGCGTCAACGCTAAAATTCAGACCCCCTTATGAATAAGGGAAGACTATGCTTAATTAATTACTCCATGTTTTGTCTCTATTCATTAAATGACAAATGGCATTTGAGGGGTCTGAACAAAACACGGCGTAACTAGTCTAAGCTTAACCCTCGTTTCTTAATAAGGGTACTTTCTTAATAAGGCCGCACCGCATAGATTTCGCCATATCGGTGGGCATACGAGCGATGCGGCGCCCCAACGGTGCCGCTTAGCACAGGATAACCATTTCTGTCAAATTGGAACTTAGTTTTGCTCGTTATACGATTTATAATCGATTGTGAAAATTTTACGTCCGTGGTTATTTGATGTTTGGCTAAACCTGCGTTTCCACAGAAGTGGTGCTGAAGATGAGTATTGCTCACAATACATCGTGTGTGAATTTTGTGCAATGCCATTGGTTAATTTAGTTTAGTTTGCTCAGCTCCGCACCACTTCGCTTCTGAGACTGGAAACGCAGTCTTATGGGAACGATAGCAAGTTTTAGCGTTGGCACTAGCGAGAAAGAATTCATATATCAAAATTTCTATGGAAAATAAGCAGTGCCCCCCCTGCCGGACGTAAGAACAAACTAGCTCTTTCCATAGAAATTTTGATGACTGCGATACGAATACCTTCTCGCTAGTTGTTCGTGATTGGGATAGCGAAACTAGGAAAATATTGAAAAAACTATGTCGGTACTGTAGTGCTCTATCCTAAAGGAATAGGCCTGGGAGCGTAGCTATAATTAATAAATAATAACGATTAGGACTTTTCACTTGATTTATTCGACTCAGAAATACATATTATATTTAAGTAATGGTCGACCGAACGTTTTCGTGCCTGAATTCTATCTGCTGGAAAGTTCGATATGAGACAAAAGATTCCCATATTCAAATCTTTAAAATAATGACATTTACTTTTAAATATAACTGCCAGCCGTAGGCATTAACATAAGTAAACAGTTTACACGAGCAAAGAGGCCGTAACGCTACGGGCGTTACAGTACCTTACTGTTCTTTAAACTTAATGGTATGTTCGACAATTATCAAGAGTAGTGGAACTATCAATCTGCCCACTGCGAAAATCTCGAAATATTTGACTCCAAAACAGGAAAAAATAAAAGACAACACATAATTATCTAATATTTATTTATTCATTCACTATTTTGTATGATATGAAACCAAAAACGTTTGGCATTAAACATCGGAACTTGTCTAAATTCTAAAATTGCACATTCTAAGTGACTAACGTAACATTTTATAATAATAAACTATAAACTTTATAATTAAAATATGCTACATCAACAGACCTATGAAGAGAAAACTCGATAGAAAGGTAACAAAATTTTCAATGTAAGATCACTTCAATCTAATAAGCAATAATAACACTGGAAACATTAAAATAACAAAGAAAAAAACATTTAATATCACTTCCTTGCGTTATACCGTTGTGCCCTTGCCGTCTCATTAAAATTGGTCAATATATAAATGATATGTATATGTCACCGGCAATTTGTATAATGCAGGTATTCCATACAATACCTAGGCAATGTATAGAATGCCTGCGGCTTCTAGGCAATGTATGGAATATTAAAAATGTTATTTTCTATTTTATACTTTGCCTAGGTAATGTAATTCCTAGGAATTGTTAGAGTACCTGCTGGCCCACCGGCAATGTGTAAAATGAACATCCTAACCGAACCTAGCCTACCCAGCTGCATATAAAACGACGGACGGATTTTATGACTCTCACCGAATGAACTACAGACAGTGGGTTAGGTTAAGTTAGTGTTGTGACCTAAACTTGGCCAGCTAGCCAGCCACCTGATAGATAAAAGATAAATAATAAGTAAATAAATTAAGGAAAAGTCGACGCACTATCTTCTTTTACACACATTGCCGACTGCGCATTTGTAATTGTATAAAATACCTAGGGAAAGTATAAAATGAATTATATTTCATAGATTGCCTTGACGTTTTTTAACATTCTATAGATTGCCTAGGTCAGCTATACTCTAAGTGTGTTCCGCGGAACCCTAGGGTTCCGTGATACCTCTGTCGGGGTTCCGCAAGAATTTAGAAATAAAAAAATCAAAACACCTCTCTCTGGTCGCTCCGCGGCTGTGCGGACTCCGCGGCCGCGCGGAGACAAAACGCTATGAATGTTATTTATTTATTTATTTGTATTTGTATAAGCTTGTGTTACATTAGCTGGTACAATATCTCATAAGTTTGGTCTCAACAATTTTATACTTGTACAACGCGTTCGCTCTAAGTTTGCCGGTCTGTGGAATGCGCGTACCCTCCCCCACGTGACAACAAAACTTATAATGTGTCATAGTTTTACCCAAATATCTAACGTACACAATTTTTATTGTTACAATTAAATAAAAAATTTCGAACGTCATACACTCATACCTATCGCCAGCGGCAAACTTAAAACGAGCGGGTAGTATACTTGTAAGCGCTCAGTCTCTTTGATAAAAGCCGCCTCTGAATTAGACGCTATAGTTGTCAACTAGCGACTTTCGTCTCTAACTTCAAAGGATAAAGTCGATATTGTTTACAACGCTATTTTTAAATTTCTGTTTTTATTTTTGCTTTTTGTTTATCAAAGGTGCCGACTCGAGTATTTTCGAGAATATTTGAGATCGAGTCTAGGACTAAGTATAAAAGCGGCGATCGCGCGTTGGCGTCGTCAGTTGATGATTAGCGTTCGGAGCGATAAGTTACTACCTACTTACAAGCTCGCTAGCGAGAAACTGGTGTTCATTGTTTTACTGCCTGCTGTATTCTGTTGTCTCAGTTTTATACATTTCTTCCCTGTAGGTTCTAAATTTAGTCTCTTATACGCAGTAACGATTGTGCATTATTTAAACCCCACTATCCTGACTTGTAACATTATAAATAAAGAAGAATGGAACGTTGGCTTAAAGGTGTTAAACGTGTTCCAACAACATCTTCTAATGACGCTGAATGTTCAAAAGCAATGCGCGCGGAGAATTTAGCAATCACCGATCCAGAAGATGATGCCACGAGTGCCACGACGTCAAGCTCGACGGTTTCAAAGACGAAAAAAAGGAAGTATGATGAATCTTATATCAGTTTCGGATTTGTTGATTCCAACGGCTCACCTCTCTGCATGCTCTGTAGTAAACTGCTTCCTAATAGTTCCATGGCACCTGCCAAATTGCGTCGACATTTAGAAACCGTACACCCCGAGACTAAAGACAAGAATAAAGAATTTTTTGTTCGCAAAAAAGATCAGTTATTAGAAAGTCAAAAAAATATGATGCATGTAACACAAACTACCAACGAAAAGGCCACGGAGGCATCATACTTAGTTAGCTATCGCATTGCACAAGCAGGTGAAGCGCACACTATCGCTGAGAAATTAATAAAACCATGTGTATTAGACATAACAAAATGTATGCTTGATGAAAAATCTGCAAAGCATCTTTCTACTGTTCCGCTATCAAACGATACTGTTTCACGACGAATCCATGATCTGGCAAGCTACGTCAAACAAGAACTAGTTACACGTCTACAAAATACACGATTCGCTTTGCAAATGGACGAGTCGACTGATGTCGCTGGTTTGGCTATCCTGCTGGTTATTGTGAGATATCCATATAAAAGTTCTTTTGAAGAAGACATGCTTATGTGTTCATCGCTGCTTACAAACACTACCGGGGAAGAAATTTTTAATAAAATAAATATATTTTTTGAAGAACATAATCTCAGTTGGAACAATTGCATTGACATTTGTACAGATGGGGCCAAGGCGATGACAGGTAAAACAGCAGGAGCAGTGTCACGAATGAAAAATAAAGCGCCTAATTGTAGTTCCAGTCATTGTATTCTGCATAGACAAGCACTTGCGATGAAGCAAATGCCGTCTAATCTAAAATTAGTTATGGATGAAGCGGTAAAAATAATTAATTTTATCAAATCACGACCACTACAATCCCGATTGTTCTCATTATTGTGTGAAGATTATGGCAGCAAACATAAAACACTGCTGCTCCATACAGAAGTGCGATGGCTGTCTCGGGGAAAAACTTTAACAAGGCTATTTGAACTTAGAGCCGAGTTACAAATGTTTCTTTCAGCAGATACTTCTTTTAATTTGAAGGACCGTTTGTATGATAAAACTTGGTTGTTCCGATTGTCTTTTATGGCGGATATCTTTCAAAAACTTAACGAATTAAATTTATCATTGCAAGGTAAACAGACAACAGTGTTTCAGGCCTATAATAAAATAACTACTTTTAAAAGAAAATTAGATTTTTGGATCATTTGCATTGGTAAGAAAGAAATAGAAAGTTTTACGTTACTCACTGAGTTTGTTAGCGAAAACGACTCAGAAATGTTTGAAGATAATGTGTTTGAAGAATTGGTCCAATATCTCAGTTCGATGCGCGCATCTTTTGAAAAGTATTTTCCCGAAGAACACAATACAAAAATTAAAGTGAACTCCTGGATTCATAATCCTTTTTTACCCAACTTGGAAAAGCCTGAAAACATGTCAAATGAGATCTATGAATCTCTTTTAGAAATGTCATCAGACACAAGTATGGAGTCATTGTTCAAAACGACGCCTCTTAATGATTTTTGGTGCAGAATCCAAGATGAATATGCAATGCTTGGCCAAATGGCTCTGGATATTCTTCTCCCGTTCCCAACTACATATTTGTGCGAAA